TCCCACAGATTTTGGATCATTGTGTTTCCATTTTCATTTGTCCCCAGGTATGTTTCTATTTTCTTCTTTAATTTCTTCAGTGATCCATTCGTTGTTCAGTAGCATATTGTTTAGCCTCCACGTGTTTGTGGTTTTTGCAGGTTTTTTCCTAGTTTCATAGTGTTGTGGTTGGGAAAGATGTTCGATATGATTTCAGTTTTCTTAAATTCACTGAGACTTGTTTTGTGGCCTAGCATGTGATCGATCCTGGAGAATATTCCATATGCACTTGAAAAGAATGTGTATTCTGCTGCTTTGGGATGAGTCATTCTCTCTCTCTCTCTCTCTCTCTCTCTATATATATATATATATATATAAACTCCACCTGGTCTAATGTGTCATTTAAGACCAGTGGTGTTTCCTTACTGATTTTCTGTCTGGATTGTCTGATCCATTGATTTAAGTGGGGTGTTAAAGTCCCCTATTATTATTGTGCTACTGTCAATTTCTCCCGTTGTGTCTATTAATGTTTGTTTTATGTGTTTAGGTGCTCCTTTGTTGAGTGCATATATATTTATAATTGTTATATATTCTTCTTGTATTGATCCCTTGATCATTATGTAATGCCCTTCTTTGCTTCTTGTTACAGTCTTTGTCTTTAAGTACAGTAAGCATATTCTTTTTTTTTTTTTTTTTTGCGGTACGCAGACCTCTCACTGCCGTGGCCTCTCCCGTTGCGGAGCACAGGCTCCGTACGTGCAGGCTCAGCGGCCATGGCTCACGGGCCCAGCCGCTCCGCGGCATGTGGGATCTTCCCGGACCGGGGCACGAACCCGTGTCCCCTGCAGCGGCAGGCGGACTCCCAACCACTGCGCCACCAGGGAAGCCCAAGCATATACTTAATGTGCAACCATCACCACCACCCATCTCTTTCATCTTCCCAAACCAAAGTTCTGTCCCCATTAAACATTCACTCCCCGTCCCCTCCCCCAGCCCCTGCAGCCAGCTTGCTCTACCCTTCACTTGGTTTGCACTGTCTGTCTTATTGCCTGAAGAATTCTTTCGTTATCCTTTAAGCCCAGTAGATTAATGGAATCAATATCTGGGTGTGGCACATCCTGCACCTTATTTTCCTGGAACTCTTTCATCATTATATTGCTCAGTACTTTCTGAATATGTTTTAAGTACTTAAAACAGGTTGGGGCCTCTATCCAGGGCACAAGCAGTTCTTCGCGTGAGTGTTCCCACAGCTCTCAGCTCCTGTCTGCTCCGCATCTGCTGCTGTGCCAGCGGGGCCATCCCTCTGTCAGTAACTCCATTTTCAGTCACATCTTTTCTGGATTGGGTGCATTAGTGATTCCACGTGATTCAGTGTTGGGGCTCTCGGTTTGTCTCCAAACTTCTGTCATCTCCCTGTTTCCCTCACTCTGTTGAGACACCGACATATCTCATTTTTGAGCTTGTCCCTGTCCAGTGGGTTTAGTGCTTGAAGCCTGTTTAGGGAATTCCTTCTGCTCCTAGTCATGTTTTATTGTTGGCCGGCTTCTTTGTCTTATGAAGTCCATCCTCTCTTTATCCCCCTTTTTCTCTTCTCTCTCTCCCTTCCTTCCTTCCTTTTAAAAAAATTGTTTATTTGAATTGTGGTAAAATATACCAGAAACGTACCGTCTGAACCACTTGAAGCGCACAGCTCAGTGGCTTTCAGCACATTGGCATTGTTGTGTAACCATCACCGCATCCGTCTCCAGATCTCTCCCATCTTCCCAAACTGAAGCTCTGTCCCCATTCGGCACTAACTCCGTCTCCCAGCTCCTGGCCCCCACCATCTCCTTTCTGTCTCTATGGGTTTGACTCTTCGAGGTCCCTCAGATAAGTGGATCCTACGGGATTTGTCCTTTTGCGACGGGCTTATTTCTTTTTTTTTTTAATTTAATTTTATTTTTTAATTAATTTATTTGGTGGCACCAGGTCTTAGTTGCGGTAGGTGGGCCCCTTAGTTGTGGCTCACAGGCTTCTTAGTTGCGGCACATGGGCTCCTTAGTTGCAGCCAGCCTGCCCCGCCCCCACCCAGCCAGCAGTCCCCACACACAGAATGGCACAGGGCTGCTGTGTGGCAGGAATGAAGCCCTTTGGAAGAAGGTGCAAGTGCTTGAGCAAAAGGAGCAGTCGACCTTCCTGCCTGTCCCCTACCCCACCACACACAGCCGTGGGGTCTGAGTCTGCCTGAGCCCCGTGGGAGCGAGCCGTGCTGGGACTCCTCAGGGCCTGGGTCCGCTCTCCCTGCCTCGCCTCACGTGGGAGCGTCCAGCCTGCCCACTGGACACTCCTCACAGTGCCCTGGGGATGCAGAGCCGTGGGCCACTGGCCCCCCCAGGAGGGCTGTCTGTCCTCCCCCCACAGGAAGATACCACTAGACTCGGGATCATAGAAGTGGACCACTGTTTTCAAAATAAATCAAACCTCACCTAAATGATGCAGCAGCCAGTTGAAAGGCCTCCCCCAGCCCACTCCCAGACGTAACCACCACACATCAGCCTGTATTTGTCATTAGATCCCGCCACACAAAATGTTGGACATCCTGCCCCTGTCACCTGATCTGACCCTGGACCTCAGACACCATCGGGACCTGCCAACCCACTGCATTCTCAAAACCCAGAACGGGAAAGACACAGCACTCAGGGTGGGATGCGCTAGACACGCTGAGCCTTCCCCGTGGGTGGATGTGAGGCGTTTGCCATCCTGTGCCCTTACAGATGGCGCTCCCACGAGCATTCTGAGATGGGCTGCCATTCGCTGCCATTGCTCAAGGAAATCAAGTCCTGGTCTCTTCGTGGACCCTAGAGTCTCAAGGAGCCCCTCTCACAGCTTCCTGGGGTGCACAGGTGAACGTCCCTGATGGTCTATTGCGTGTGTGTTACCGACCAGGGCTCTTGGCCCCCTTAATCAATAGAAATTGATCAGAGGCCACATCAGAAATTCAGGCAAGACTTTATTGGGGGCCCTGCTGCTGTAGTGGGGAGCGTGAACAAGTAATAGGTTCCCTTGCTCCCTCACTGAGTGGTGGGGGCGTCTGGTTCCTTATATGGGGTGAGGGTAGGGATGTGTCCAGGGGTCGGGCCGGAGGGGTGGCTTAGGAGGTCTGCCCACCCCTTGGTGGTGTGTGCGAGGGTCTCGCGCAGTACCCTGCTTTTGCTCCCAGCTCTTCAGAAGTGGCAGTTGGGGTTTCTGTCTCTTTGTATCTTGTTGTCCAGAATTTGCCCCACCTGCGCATGTACGCAGTTATTTTTAGTCCCTTATCGATTCTTTGTATTTCGTTGCTCGAAGAGATGTTTGTTTCGGTGCAAGCACTGCAGCAAAGGGTCCCAGGTCTCAGCCTGTCTCGCGTGGACACACATACAGAGGGGCCTCAGCGTGGCCCCGCAGATGGCGCTGCCCGTGCCCGCGGTGCTGCATGCGTCTCGCTCACCAGCAGGCCCGAGGCACTTCCAGCCCTCCCTCTTTTGCAGGCGCTCTATGCCTCTCTCTCCATGGGAAGGGTAGGGAATGGCTGACAGAGGCTTGCCCCCCTCTGCCCAGGGCGGGCAGGGGCCTCCCAGTGCTTGGCCAGTACGAACACCTCGGCAGGTATGGGACAGGATGGGACGTAGAAGGCGGTCGGGGGAAATGCACTATGAGTGTTTGCTGACGCCACCGAATGGCTTTATCCCGACAAGGCAATGTCTGGGGAGGGGCCAGGCCAGGGGCTGGGTGTACTGAGGCCCACCTTCCTTCTGCAGACCTCTGCAAGCACCGGGCCCTGGTGGTTGGCTGGGTCACAAGTGGGGTGAAGACATAGAGGTAGGCAGGCTGGCCAAGCTGCAGGCTCCGGTCTGGCATCAGGGTTTGGACACGTTGGCAGGGCCTGGAGCCCCCCGGCAGCCTGGACGGTTGTCGTCTGAGCCCCCCTGCGCCCAGCTGGGCTGCAGGGCAGCCAACCCACAGCCTTGGTTCTCCCAGCGCCAACACCTGACGGCCGTTACCTAGGCGAGTCACCTCAGGCCTCCCTCTCTGTGAAAATGGAAGGAATTGGGCAGAAAAGCCACACAGTGCGGCAACAGGGAGCAGAGGCTCGGTCGGCTGGCCCCGCGTGGCAGACCTCGCTCCACGGCTTCCTGTCTGGTCTCCTGGGGAAGGTACTTCTCCCTCCCTCAGTGCCTTGGTTTCCCCACTTTGCAAACGGACAGAAATCTGCACACTTCCTCAAGCTGTCTGTATTCAGTGAGAGGCTCCGAGCTCGCCCAGCAGGGCGTCGGGCGCAGACTGGGCTCCAGGAAGTAGCTGGCTCATCCGCGGCTGGGGTCTCACGCCTGGCACGGAGCTGAGCCTGGTATGCGGGCACCGGTAAACGAGTACCCCCGTGGACTCCCAGAAAGCTCTGGGGGGAAGGAGGTGGGGGAAAGGGCGACCCCTGAGTGCCTGCGGTTGGGAGGACAGACAGCGATGTCCCACCTGACCCAGGGGCTGGACCCACCCAACCTGGGCAGCAGGGGTAAGGGCTGGCAGGTGCGCGTGGCTCTGGGCTGGCCAACTAGAGCCCCACCCGCGTCCCCAGAACCCACAGGCCGGCTGAGGCTCCCCTCTCCAGCGGCCTCCGCCTGCGGAGGTGACCGGCCGAGAGCCACCGGCTGTCACCGTGCTACTATCCCTCCCCTCCTCCCAGCGCCGTGACCGTCAGCATGACTATTACTACTACTTCCGTTGTAAGGCAGCCCCTCGAAGCCTGGGACGCCAAGACCCTCTCCCACGTGGCGCGTCCTCTGGGCACCCAGCCTCCGGGGTGGGGAGGCGGCCGAGCCTGGGCGCCCCCGGGCCGCGGCGGGAGGGAGCCCGGCCGCCCCCAGTTTCCCAGCCCCCCTCGGCCGTTCCACTGCGGCGGAGGCGCGGGGAAGGCGGGGCGGCGCGCGGAGATGGTAGCGCCCGCTCCCCTGCCGCCACCCGCCGCCTGCCGCCCGCCGCCCAACGCCGCCGTGCGCTCCGACAGGATGGCGCGGGCCAAGCTGCCGCGCTCGCCGTCCGAGGGCAAGGCGGGCCCGGGGGGCGCCCCGGCCGGCGCCTCGGCCCCCGAGGAGCCGCACGGGCTCAGCCCGCTGCTGCCGGCCCGCGGCGGGGGCTCAGTAGGCAGCGACGTGGGCCAGAGGTAGGGGCGGGGGCGCGGGGCGCCGCGGGAGGGGCTTTGCATCTCTGCGCTCGCATCCCGCACGGGCTCCGCTCGGCTGCACCTGCCGCGCTGCCTGCAGCCCCGGGAAGGGAGGGACGGCCGAGGTCTCCCTCGGGACCCCCAGCCAAGCGCCCCAACCGCTCTGTGTGTCTCCAGCCCGCCTCGGGGAGCCTGTGGGACCCCTGCTCCCTTCTGCTCTGAGAGGCTGAGCACAGAGGGCCTGCAGATAAGACCGGAGGGAAGAAAGGCAGTGGGGACCTGGGCGCTGTGCCAGGTGGCTTGGTGACCACTGCCCGAGCCCTGCCCCACTGGAGGCCACACTCTTGTTGGTTCCAGCAGCCACTTGGGGGGAAGCAGGGCCAGCATCTGTGTCCTGCTTCAGAGGTGAGCAGCTGCATAGCAGATGGGAGCTGGGGTGTATCAGGGCTCAGGCTCCCTGGGGCTGGTGCCTGGAGCCAGTGGCAGCTGAGGTGCAGCAGGCTGGTTCCCCAGCCAGGCAGGGGCAGTGCCAACCCCTGTCCGGCCCCTCCTTGAGGCCCGGTGCAGGACGACAGCCTATTTCACAGATGCGGGCGCTGAGGCTCGGTCTGCAGGGCTAATGCAGGGCCACCCCTGCCCTGTGCCAGGAGCCCTTCTAGATGCTGCGGGGGAAACCGAGATGAATCAGACCCAGTGGTGTGGGCACATGTCGTGGGCGCGGAAACCTGTGCCTGGTAGAGGGAGGTGCAGGCTGGGCCGGGACAGGGAGAGCGGGGCTTCCTGGGGCGCTCGCCCTTCGCGGGGGAGCACAGGGAGATGGGCAGGGGCTTCCAGGCAGAGGAAACAGCCAGGGCCAAAGCCTGGGGCGGTTGGGGGAGGCGCTGTGCCGTGTCAGGGTTGGGGCGAGGGGTTGGCAGAGACTCAGCCTGGCAGATGGCAGACCAAGAGTGCCTGGGGAGCCTCCCCCCGCCCCTCCTGCTGGCCACATGCCCTCTGGGCCCCTCCCCACCCTCAAACCCCATTTCCTGCTCCTTGGCCGCCCCTGGGGGCCACTGCCCAGCGGTCATTCCCATTTGCCGGAGGAGACTGCTAAGGCTGGAGATTGAGTGCCTCTAACGGGCACGCCTGGTGGCCTCACGCAGCTGATGGGCAGCCCCTGGGCAGGAGGGAGGCAAGGGCCGGCCAAGGCCCTGGAGACCAGGTTCCTCTCTTCTCCATCCTCTTCCTGCAGGCAGTGCAGGGACAGAGGCATGGCAGGTCTTGTCCAGGCTGCATCTGAACCCGCAGTGCAGCATGGGAGCTGTGGTGGCAGGGACACCTCCTCCAGGGAGCCCTCCTCCCATACCCACCCCTGCCACCCCCAGTCCTGTGCTGATGACCCTTCATGTGAGCAGCCTCACTCAGTCCCCCTGCAGCCCCTGAGGTTCAGGGTCCTCATCAGCCTCCTTCTGCAGAGTAGAGGGAGTGTCTGCAGCTGCATCGCTGGCCCAGCAGCACCAAGGGCTGGCGCCTGCAGCTTCCTCTCCCCAAGCGTTAGATGCACACTGTGGAGTTTGCTCTGGACGGGAGTAGGGAGCCATGGCAGGTTTCAGAGCAGGGGAGGACTTGCAGGCTTTGTTCCTTAGGAACACGAGTCTGATAGAGATTACAGTAAGACCAGAGCCGGCAGGTGGTTGCCCTCTGCCGGAGGGAGCCTGTGGCCGCAGCTCCTGCGGCTGCCCGCGTCCTGCACGCGCCTTCTGGAGCCAGCCGGGGGCAGGGCTCGCTGGGCCACGAGGCCTCGTCCCTGCCCAGGGCGCCCCCCCCACCTGCCCCTGAAGCACTGCACCCCCATCTCCTGGACGCTGTGGGGGGATCGTTAGAAACGTGACCGGGGTGTGGGGGGGTGATAAGGACCATCGCTTGAGAGCTTTGGAGCTGAAGAGCCAGTGAGGGAGAGGCTGGCCATGTAGTGAACCCTCCCGGGGGGTCACGGCTGGGCTAGGGCCCCTTCATGCCCCCAGCGACCCTGGGGCTGAGCGGTCTTGCCCCCAGGGGTGCTGCCGTGTAGCCTCACATCTGCTGGGGGGCCCCAGCGCAGTCCCCCACCTCCTACCGAGTCTTCAGGAGTCCAGCCACGGGTCGGGGCCAGGGACGGCAAAGCTGGCCTGCATGGACTGGGGCCCGAGTTCGGGGGCCCCACTGGTGGCAGGGGGGGTGCTTTCGGCCCTGGACGTGGGCTGCCCCCTGGCCTTTGAGAGACGAGTCCTTGGGCCCCAACAGCTGTGTGTGGGAGGAGGGGCCCCAGGAGCCAGAATGGGGTGAGGGTGCCAAGGCCCGGAGCTGTCGCCCAGGGGCCAGCAGGAGAGCAGGGCAGGGCAGGGCAGTGTGCTGGCTTTTGGGGGCACCCCTGCAGAGCCCCAGGCTGGTGGGGACAGAACCACTGGAAGGTGTAGGCAGGAGGTTTCCAGGCACAGCTCAGGTCCTAGCCGGGTGCCAGGTGTGCTGACCTGGAAGGAAGAGGGATGCAGAGGGGTGGGACAGCTGGGGCAGGTGAGGCAAGAGAGGAAGGGCCTGCTTACTTAGCAGGCCCCGCCCCCTGGGTTTGGGTTGTGTCCCAAGTGAGGGGCTCACTGGTGGCTCGCTGGAGGGGACGTGGGGGTAGCCGGGAAGGCATGGCAGGGGCCCTGGTGAGAAGGAGCGGGCTGCAGAAGGATCTAGGAGGCAGAATTCTGGGGTCTGAGAGTTGTGGGGAGTCATGGCAGGGAATGGGGAGCGCTCTGTGGACGGCTGAGTTTGGGGTACCTAGAGGCACGGCCACGGCGAGAAGTCCGGGAGGCAGAGCCCAGGCCGGGGAGTGGGGACCCTTGTGTGGGTGTGGCTTTGGATGGGGCCACACGGGCAAGGGGAGGAGTGGAAGCCAGAGGCCAGGATGAGCTCTGAGGACCCGCCGGAGGCCGCGCGCAGAGGTCAAGGGAACTCCACGGCAGGAAGAGGGTCCCCGGGGAGGGGAGGCAGGAGGACCTGGACGGGGGAGTGGGAGGCCGTCAGGAGGCCAGGCCTAGAAGCCGGGCCAGGAGGCTGTCTTCGCCCTCCCCAGGGGTAGTTTCAGGGGCGGAGCTCACCAACCCTGGACCCTCACCCGGAGGGGACATCCAAGGAGGGGCTCGCTCAGAGCTGGGTTGACGAGAAGGTTTGTGGGGAGAGAGGGGGAGCTCCAGCCGCGGGGTCTTCGTGCAAAGGCCCACAGGTGGGGTGGGGCCTTGGGGGCGGGGTGCAGTCAGGGGTGGGGCCTGGGCGGGGCCAGTGCGGCTGCTGCAGGGCCTGGGCGGGGGTTGAAATCGCCCGGAGACCCGGGCGGCAGCTTCAGAGAGTGGCCGCTGCGGGGCGCCCGTACACCCAGGGCCCTGACTCAGGGCGGCCCCTCTGAGCCTGGCTGCCCACCAAGGACGCGCGGGGGCGGCGGCGGTCAGGCCCCGCCTTTGCAGAGCCCTGGGGCCGTCTGTGGACTGCGGGGGGCCGGGGAGGGCAGGAAGCAAGGGCTGCAGGGAACACCGGCTTGGCCAGCCCAGGACCAGCTGTGCACTTTGCTCTGGGGGCCCGAGCCCGCCCTCCCCGCGTGCTCTGAGCCCAACGCGTGGCCGCCTCCTCCAGCTCCGGCTCCCCCTCGGGCGGCTCCAGCGCGGCCCTGCCCTCGTGCTGTTCTCCCCAGGACCCTCGGGCCTCCCCCGCCCCTCCTCCCCTGCAGATCTGCACTTTCATGTGCCCGCCCCCTCCAGAAACAGGGCGAGTCTCCCTCTCCCGACCTGTCCTCTCCTGCCGGCGCCCCTCACCCGCTCTCAGCAAGTTCCTGGTCCGCTGTGACCGGCTCTGGTCCTGCCAGGTTCCTGCCACCCTGGGTGCAGCTGTCGCCCAACTCAGCACTGGGGGCAGCGCCCAGGCCAGAGGGAACCTGAGCTGGATAAACACGCAGAATCTGGGCCCAGTTAAGCCCAGGTTTCCCCTGCTCTCTGCAGCGCCCAGCCCCACACCACACCCGCCCAAGACCTCACCCGCCGGGGCGCCAGGAGCTGTAGGCCGGGGGTCCCACCCAGAGGGCCCTGCACAGGCAGGCAGGCAGGCCGCTCCCCCCTCCCCGCCTGTGGTCTTAGGGAGGCAGTGGTCCTCTCTGAACCTTGGTTTCCCCTTCTGGAAGATGTTTGCTTTAAGAATTGAAAGAGAGGCCCCGTGAAGCCCTCTGCGGAGAAGCAGGCCCCAGGTGGGTGCGTCACCAGCAAAGAGCAGACCCTCTGTGCCCGCCTCCCTACTCCGCCCCAACACGGGCAGTCTGGCAGCTCCCACCAGCCTCTTCCTCCCAGCCTCCCTCCCAGGTCGGCACAGGCCACGCCCACCTTGGTGTCATCTGGCTGTGGTCAGTCTGGTAGAGCCCTAGGCCAGGCCGCCCAAAGGGCAGCAGGTGTGTGTTGCTGGCCCAGTAGAGGGGTTGCCCCTGGGGGTCCCTAAAAGCACTGGCCTGCCTTGTCACCCAGGAAGCCGAGGGGCAGGGCAGGGGGTGCAGTGGCCTGTAGAGGGCGGGGGAGCCCAGCAGAGGTCATCCAGCCAGTGGCCCTGTGTGGGGCCCGCCTCTTGCGGCCATCAGCTTCCTGGGTGTCAGAGGGTGGCTGACGGTGCTGCTTCCTGGACACCGGGGTCACGCAGGGCCTGGGGCGGGCTTAGTGCCGAACAGTGCGGTAAGCCCTCGCCAGACCTGCGGTCCTGCCGCTCGCCTGGCCACAGGCGGGTGCCCATCCCGCGTGCGGTCTCCCAGGTCTAGCGGTCACCCCGTCCCGCCGTATGCCGCACTGCCACGCGCACTGTGCCGCTGTGCGGGTGCCGAGGGCACCAGGCCCAGTCGGGAGTGTGCGCACGGGCGCACCCCTGCTTCCCTCGGACCCTGCCCGCGTCCTCCCTATGTGTCCCTGCCCACACCTGGTCCAGGAGCCCAGGCCCTCTGTCTGTCCATCCGTCCGCGTTGATGTGTCCACTCCATTCCGTCCCCAGGCTTCACCTGGAAGATTTCAGCCTGGACTCCTCTCCGTCTCAGGAAGTGCTTGGCTCACAGGTGGCCTCCCAGCCCCTGGCAGGCCCGGGGAGGGAGGGCAGCTCAAGCCGTGCCAGCCCAGGGGGGAGGGCCCGCTCCGGCCACAGCATCTGCCCTGCAGCCGGGTGGGAGCGGGGACACGGCCGCTGCTGCTGGGCCTCGGGTGGCGCTTCCTGGGGCGGAGCCTGGGGGTAGGAGACGGGGGCGTCCGGAGGCGAACACCCCACAGGTTGTGACCACAGCCCTCGGGAGGGAGCAGGGACCCTTGCCGTGGTGCCTACGTGGGGACAGGCGTACAGGTGACCGCTGGTGACCGTCCGGACCCACAGGCACCTGGCTCAGCTGCCCCACCGTGAGCCCTGCCAGGCTTTTCCTGGCATCAGCCAGGATTTAGGTCAAGCAGAGGGTGCTTTGAGGTCGGGGTACCCAAGCGCCCTCAGCAGCCCCATTGGGGGCGTTCCTGGGAAAGAGCCCCCCACATGCTCACACCCACGGCGTCCAGTGTGGCCACCGACTGGGGCCTGGTTTTTAGTCTCGTTAATTAACACCGTCGACATTGGCCACCACCGCGCGCACAGGGCTTCCCCGCGCCGCCCCCTGCAGCCCGAGGCTTTGCGCTGTTACGCCGCCGGCAGGAGCCTGGGAGCTGCCCTGGGCCTCAGCCCCCCAGCGGTGGTGCGGTGGGTAACAGGAAGGGGGAGGTACCTCCTCCACCGCAGGGCTCTCCCAGCCCCACCAGGAGCGGGTCTGAGACCGTGGGAGGATGTGGACGATTGCGGCCACCTGAGGGGCCGAGGCTGGGGTCCTGCTGCCCCAGAATTGCATTGTCACGGGCAAAGCAAACGTCCCTGGGCCCTCGGAGGCCCAAGGAGGCTCACCAGGGCCCCTGACCGAGCCAAGGCGCCAGTACAAGGACACTCTCTTGGACTGGGGAGGCCCAGGACGGCGCCGTCTGTTGGTTTGAGAGGTCACCCGGAGCCTTTGCACCAGGAGGGCCGAGTGGCAGAGGGGAGGCGCGTGGCCGTGGGCTGACGTGGGACGGCGGGCGGCCTGTGCCCCAGCCTGTTCCGTGGGAGTAGCTGCAGGAGAGCCTGTGCCCCCGATGCCCCCACAGGCGAGGCTGCAGCTGGGGCAGAGCAGCCCGTCCGCAGCCCGTCCGCCTGAGGGCCCCACCTCCAAACCCAACCCAGCCCGGCTCCTTGCCCGCCCACCCTGGGACCTGCCACTGCCCGGGAGCAGGGCAGGTCAGGGGCTCTGCCCGTTCGCAGAGTAGCCGCGGCCTCGGCCTTGGCAGTTGGGCCCCGGCCCTGCTCTTCCATCTCGCCCGGGGCTCCGTGGCCTCCTGCGTGGAGCTCCCGGGCACCTGCTGGAGAGCCACCGGCACACAGCAGTAGACCGGGAAGAAGGCTGCCAGACGTCGGCCCCTTGTGAGTTCAAGGCTGGCACGACCGGGTGGGTGGGCCTCCCCACAGCCGTGTGCCTGGTGTCCCACCGGGACCGGCCGCCCGGCCCTGCGTTTGCCGCTTCCCGGCACAGGCCATCTGTGCCAGAGCTCCCTGCTGGGAATCCCTGGAAGGCCACGCCCGCAGCCTGCCGGTCAGCTGCCGGTCAGCAGGGAGAGCTGCAGCCCCTTCTTCCACCTGCCCTCGCCTGGCAGGTCCGGTCCTGGTTGGGGGTGGGGTGGGTGGAGTTCAAGCTGCTCTGCCGGCACGAGGGGGCCTCCTCTGGGCCACCCCAGCGTGGGCAAGGCCCTGCACACCGGCAGTGAACGCAAGCCGAGTGGGGATAGGCCACGGCCGCCTGCTGAGACCTGACTCCTATGCCCCTGAAACTCGGAGACCCAGGGAGTCCAGAGCCCTGTCTCCTCTGACCACTGGGTGACCTGAGGCAGCGTCCAGCCTGGGTGGGCCTCAGTTTCCATGTGTGTAGGGACGGGGCTGGCAGGACCCCTCCGAGAAGCCCTGTGGCCGGGCTTGGGGACATGGCCCTCCAGCTGCCCGGCCTGGACCGCCGTCCTCGCCAGCCTGAGAGCTGCTCACTCCATGGCGGATGGAAGGGAGCAGGGCTCAGGACTGTCCCGGGACAGGGAGTGGGTTTGGCCTGTCCAGTCCTCGGGGCTTATGGCCGAACCGCAGGGGGTACCCCAGGGACCGTCTGGGGCTGGGGCTCTCAGAAGCCTCGGGGCCCCGTGACCAGGCCTGCCCAGTGCCGCAGACCTTCCTGCACCCCGGGCAGCGGGCAGCAGGGGCCCCGCGGTGCGCCCAGGCCTCCCCGCCGGGCGTCCTGCCGAAGGAGCGGGTGAATGCATGCGAGCGGGTGCAGACGGAGTGGACCCCTTGTCTGCCCTCGCCCGGCTCTCGAGCTGTTTGCCGGGCCGTCGCCCTGTGAGCTCGTAGCCGGCTCCTGGCTCTGGACCCCCACGGAGCCCTCCCCCGCTCCCCAGAGCAGCTTCCTGTGGGCCTGGGCACCGGCTCCACCATGGGGCCGCCACAGGGCCTCAAGCCACAGCTGGTGGCCGGCAGCCATACACGTGGGTCTACGGCACGGGCCGTCTCTCCTGGGTGATGTGAGTGGTGGGTGTGGACCAAAGTCAGGCTCAGAGCAGGTCCAGCCCCGATCGCTCGCACCGAGCTGGTGGGCGCCGGGCCCCGGCCACGGGCGTGGCCGTCTCTCACTTCATCCTCTCTCTGAAAACCAACACCTACCTGGACTTTACGAGGGAGGACCTGAGGCACAGAGAGGACCGTGTTAACTTCTCCACGGTCGCGGCAGCCCTGCCAGTCTCCCTCAGGATGCCCGTGGCAGCCGCCCGGGCCCCAGGTGAGGCGGCCGAGGCTCAGACAGGCGGGGCCACAGGCAGGGGAGGGGCGGGGCTCTGCCAGGCCAGACGGTCCGTGACCCCGGCGTGGCCGCATCCCCCAGCAACTTGCGGAGCCAAGAGCACATCCTGCAGCTGAATCACACCCGTTGCACCCGCACTTCAGAGTAAATGGAAAGCTTGTAACTTACTTTCTGTGGTGGGAGAAGCGGGCAGCCACAGCTCGTGAAAAATTAAAAGCGGACGCGGCTCCGTGGATTTCCCCGGGCACCCAGGCTCGACCTCCCGGGGCCGAGTCTCCGCCGGGCTCCGCCGCCCCCCACCCCTTTCTCTCCTCCCGCGTGGAGAGCGCCCGGGGCCGGGGGGGGCCTGTGCAGATGGGTGTCCACAGCCGCCCGGGCAGGGGGCTGATGGGTTCCATGTCTGAGGCGTGACCAGTCCCGGGTGGCAGTCCTGACCCCTGGGCCTGGGTGGGGACTTGCGGGGGCCGCCGTGAGAGGCATGCGGGCTGGGGGCGTGGTGCACGGGGGGGGCAGGTCCCCGGGAGGCTGAGGAGGAAGGAGGGAGACTCGGCCACCAGCCACGCGCACCCGCCACGTGGGCCGAGCTGGACCTTGCTGGCCAGATGAGGGCCAGGAAGGGGGTACCCAAGTGGAGGGGCACAAGGGCTGGGGACCCCTCCTTGAGGCTTCTCTGTGCAGGGCAGGACGGTGGGGGAGTGTTCCCTCGGGACACGTGGGCACCGCCGAGGGGCGTCTGCCCCCTGACCTGGCCCAGGCCCAGCCGGGCTTGTCTGAGTTGCTCCTTCAGAGAGAAGGCATTTGACCAACTCCCCAGAGGGACCCTCGGATTCCCGCGACCCGGCTCTGGGTAGCACCTGCAGAGGAGGTTGGGGTTCAGGTCCAGTGGGGTGTGCTGGGGTGCAGTGTACAGTGGATGCGTTGGGGTACAGTAGGGTATCCTGGGGTGTAGTGTGCAGTGGGGTACACAGATATACTGGAGTACAGTGGGTGTACCAAGGTACAGTGTATGCTGAGATGTGCTGGGGTGCAGTGTACGCCGGGTGCACTGGGGTACAGTGGTGTGCACAGGGCTATACTGGGACATGAGGAGCGTGCTGAGCTGCTGTGTACAGTGGGTGTGCTAGGTGCAGTGGGGTACGCAGAGATATGCTGGGGTACAGTGGGTACACTAGGTGCAGTGGGGTACGCAGAGATGTGCTGGAGTACGGTGGGTATATTGGGATGTTGTGTGCAGTGGGGTGCGTTGGGTACAGTGTGCAGTGGGGTGTCCTGGGGTGCTGACCGCCCTGCACCAGGACCTGAGAGTGGGGAAGGGCCCACGCCACCAGCTCCTCCCCCTGGGCCCTTCTTGGGCCTTTGACCAGTGGGGGCCGCTGTGGTCAGGCCAGGGCCCCCGACCTGGCAAAGGTCAGGGAGGTGCTGGGGCTCTGCCCCAGTCCCCTCCCGTGGGCCCATCACCAGGGGAGGTCCAGATGGCTGCTGCCAACACCAAGTCTGTATCACACACTATGCCTAGAACAGGCTTGAGGAAACACTTCTTGGAGATGTTGGGGCAGCCAGCCGCAGGCAGAGCAGCGCCATTGAACTTTCAAGGTGACAGCGGCATGAATTTCTGCATCGATAGGAGCTGGAGCCTGGTCAGAGGGGGAGAACGATCACAGCCCTCCACCCTGGTGGACGACGACAGGGAGGTAGGGGTGGGGAGCAGGGACCTGGGCCAGCGTGCGCCTCACCTCTGCCTGTGGACCACTGTCCTGCATCCCATCTGCTCAACCGCCACCTCCTACATGCAGCCCTCCAGGGTGCCTCTGGGTAGCACTACTCTGCCTTCAGGGTGCTCAGTCCCTCTGCCTCCTGTGTCACGGTCTTCACACAGAGTGTGCCTGAGCAGCTGCCTCACCTGGACAGTCTTATCGCACCCACACAACATCCCTGAGGGTGGCGGGGCCGCCTCTACCTGACATCTGGGTGAGGGGAGGCACAGGGCATGGCATCTGGACCAGGCGTTTCCGGGCTCTTGGTGCCTCTGTCTGGTCAGGGGGTGAGGACTGGCCACAGTGATGCCCATGGGCTGCTTGTGGGGTCCTGACCTGCCAGTGGGGCAGATGCAGCTTGGAACGGAGGCCGTGTGGCAGATGCCAGGTGCTAACCCAGAGCAAGGCAGCCCTGCCCCAGGGCCCCCACCCGGCAAGGGGGAAGCGGGGCTGGACCATTCCCACCGCGGGAACCTGGCTACAGGGTCGTTGTCGTGCTGTCAACACTGGAGTTTCCGTTATGGTGGAACGTTAAGCCCTCGCCTAGCCAGCATGCCGGCCACAGCGGGCTCGCGGCCGAGGCGGGGGCAGCGGCCCGTGGCCTCCGGGTCCCACGTTACCCTAGTGACGAGACGGGCCATCCCCACTCCCTGCCTCCTCGTTCGACAGCAAAATCCTGCCAGTCCGTGTGGTCTGTTCCCAGGATGCTGGGAGCCCAGGTAGGGGCTCAGGGCATCTGGGGGTCATCCAGGGAGGGGGCCCACTGCCAGCCTGTTTGCCTCGACCATCCCGCGGGCTGCAGCAAGTCTCCAGGCTCAACCACCAGGGGCCTCCAGATAAAGCAGCTGACCATTGGCTTCTAGAACATTCTATACTAATGATATGGCATGTTTGGAGCCAAGGGCCACACAGGCCACATGTAATCCTCGTGGGCGCCGTGACAGCCCAGGCTGGGGGCCTGTGAGCATACGCCTCTGCGGGGCCTGGAGGTCCCTGGGCACTGAGAAGGCGGCAGCCGGTGGGCAGGTCCGCTGGGGGCACGTGGGGATGTGGCAACCAGGGCCTTCTGTCCGAGGTGGCAGCGCTGACCCTGGCTCTGGCAGCAGGGAGGGGCCCGCCGTGTGGGGGGCTTTGGGCTGGAGCCCCCGCTGGCCCCGGGCCCACTCCTTCCTGCCCACCCCCCAGGGTCCAGGTGGAGTTCTACGTCAACGAGAACACCTTCAAGGAGAGACTTAAGCTGTTCTTCATCAAAAACCAAAGATCCAGTGAGTGGGGCCTTCAGGGTGGGGGGCAGGGCGGTGGGAGTGCCCCTCACCTCCGGCCTGCACCACGTTCCACCCTGTGGGGACCCGCTGCCCCTGGCAGCCGGGTGGCACCGTCTCAGCCCCTTCACCCCGAGGGGCTCCCTGGCCCCTCCGTGTGGCCCCACCCTCCCGCTGTGGGTACCTTCCACCTGCATCCCAGCAGGAGCTTGGCCCCCTGGGATGCAAGATGGGGTGCGGAGGTGCCCGTGGGTCCTGGTCCGTCAGTCTGTCCATTGCTCCCCTCACCCCCCCCCCCCCCCCCGGTGACACCAGCCCCGGGAGCCCTCTGTACCACGTCCGTGAGGCGGGACAGGGTGAAGCCTCTCAGAGGCCGGCCCAGCAGAGCCACCCCGTCAGCGCTGGCGGGGCAGCCGGTGCGGAGGCCCAGGTGCAGAGGGCGGAGTGCGGGCTGGGACCCCGGCCCGTCCGGGAGCCCTGACCACCGTGCCGCCCCCACAGGCCTGAGGATCCGGCTGCTCAACTTCTCCCTGAAGCTGCTGACCTGCCTGCTCTACATTGTCCGCGTCCTGCTGGACGACCCGGCCCTGGGGATCGGATGGTGGGTGACCTGCGGGCCCGGGGCTGGGCCTTCCTGTGGGCCCTCTGCCGTTACAGAGGCCGATGGGGTCCGCACAGGGGTCCGTGCCCGGCGCCCTGTGCCCAGGGCCTTGGGGAGGCCTTCCTGCCCCCATGGGCCCCCACCCAGTGCCCCTCCCCACAGAGCCGTGGCCGGGGTGCCACCCTCAGGCTCCAGCTGGCCCGCCGGCTCAGCAGGGCAGAAGGGTGTCCTCGTCGTGGGCGACGGCTGCGTTTGCAGCCACACCCGCACCTGGACAGAGCTCTCCTTGGGGGTCTGGGATGCCCCCTCCCTGCTCGCCCAGGGGTGCGCGGGGGGGTTTCAGCGAGGGGCTCTGGGTCGCTCAGCAGCTCCTGCTGGGCAGGCAGGGGTGCCAGGCCTCGGTGGGGGGAGGTCGTGAGTCTCGCGGTGCAGGGCAGGGGTGTGCCTCTTTCTTGGGGCTCCACCCGGTTCCCCTTGCCCCTCCCGGCCCACCTCCCCATCTGCTCCGGGAGCCTCTCTGGACTCCCTCATACCCAGATGTGGGGTTCTGGGAGGTTCTGGAACGGTACTGCTTCCCTCTTTTGCTCTGTCTGGGGGTCTCCCCAGCTTTCTCTCCAGCCTCTGGTTGAGAGTTTCACCTCTGCTCTTGTGTTTTCTGATTTCTGAGAACGCGTCCTCTCCAAGCGTCGCTCCCCCTGCAGGCGCCCTGCCGTCAGCACTCGGGTTTGTCTGAACTGCTTTCCTTTCTTACAGTTCCCCCTTCTGCTCAGTCTCTGCTCCCCCGAGCTCACGCTGAAGGGACTTCCTCAAGCGTCTGGCCACTCACACTAAGGTTGGGCTCTCGGAGGCCGAGGGCCCTGTGGTCAGGGTGTGTGGCCAGTTGGTCACCACCGTCCCCTGGCTCTGCCTGGCTCCTCAGGGCAGATCCTTCCCCTCTTCCCTGCAGGGTAAGGCCTGGCCCCTGGGCTCCTGCCCGCTGAGCTGGGAAGGAGGCCGGGGTCAAAGTTCGCAGTGCAAGCTTGTAGTTACCTCCCCGCCACGTGCAGCGGGGCGGGTTCCCCAGGCCAGACCCTCACCCACTCCTGAGAACGGACCTCCTGTCTTCATCGGGAGTGCAGGAGGACAGATCCCACCGTGGTGGTTTGAGAAGGAAACCGGGGTTCTGACTCTCCAAGCACTTTCCTGGGTTCATCCCGCCTTCTCCCACTCCCAGAGGCGTCTGGGACATCCAGCTTTACGTCCCCACAGGGACCGGCTCTGTTGTATTCATTGCACAGCGCCTGGCACATGACGGGTGGGTGGGAGAGCGAATGGGTGGGTGAGGAGGCTGGTAGGTGTATGCGTGGGATGGATGGACAGGTGGGTGGATGGATGGAGGGATGAAAAGATGGATGGATAATGGATGAGTGGGTGGACGGATGAGTGGATAGAAGGAGGATGGATGGGTGGGTGGGTGGATAGAAAGGTGGATGGCGGATGAGAGGGTGTATGTGTGGATGATGTAAGGACGCTGGATGGATGGGTGGATAGATGGCGGGTGGATGGGTGGGTGGATAAATGAGTGGATAGAAGGTGGATGGTGGATGAGAGAAGGGTGTATGGGTGGGTGATGTAAGGATGGTGGATGGATGGATGGATGGATGTGTGGGTGGACGGATGGGAGGGTGGCTGGATGGGAGGGTGGCTGGCTGGCTGGATGGATGGATGGATGGATGGATGTGTGGGTGGCTGGATGGGAGGGTGGATGGATGGGAGGGTGGCTGGCTGGCTGGCTGGCTGGCTGGCTGGATGTGTGGGTGGCTGGATGGGAGGGTGGATGGATGTGTGGGTGGACGGATGGGAGGGTGGACGGATGGGAGGGTGGCTGGATGGGAGGGTGGCTGGATGGGAGGGTGGACGGATGGGAGGGTGGCTGGATGGGAGGGTGGCTGGATGGAGGGTGGCTGGATGGGAGGGTGGATGGATGGGAGGATGGTGGATGGATGGATGGATGGGGGGGTGGCTGGATGGAGGGTGGCTGGATGGAGCGTGGCTGGATGGAGCGTGGCTGGATGGGAGGGTGGCTGGATGGAGGGTGGCTGGATGGAGGGTGGCTGGATGGAGGGTGGCTGGATGGAGCGTGGCTGGATGGGAGGGTGGCTGGATGGAGGGTGGCTGGATGGAGGGTGGCTGGCTGGCTGGCTGGATGGGAGGGTGGCTGGATGGTGGGTGGCTGGATGGAGGGTGGCTGGATGGAGGGTGGCTGGATGGATGGATGGGAGGGTGGACGGATGGGAGGGTGGCTGGATGGGAGGCTGGCTGGCTGGGAGGGTGGCTGGATGGAGGGTGGCTGGCTGGCTGGCTGGATGGATGGATGGATGGGAGGGTGACTGGATGGATGGATGGATGTGTGGGTGGCTGGATGGGAGGGTGGACGGATGTGTGGGTGGACGGATGGGAGGGTGGCTGGATGGGAGGGTGGCTGGATGGGAGGGTGGACGGATGGGAGGGGGGCTGGATGGATGTGTGGGTGGATGGATGTGTGGGTGGCTGGATGGGAGGGTGGCTGGATGGGAGGGTGGATGGATGGATGGAGGGTGGCTGGATGGAGGGTGGCTGGCTGGCTGGATGTGTGGGTGGACGGATGGGAGGGTGGCTGGATGGGAGGGTGGCTGGCTGGCTGGCTGGATGGATGGATGTGTGGGTGGCTGGATGGAGGGTGGCTGGATGGAGGGCGGCTGGATGGAGGGTGGCTGGATGGATGGATGTGTGGGTGGCTGGATGGAGGGCGGCTGGATGGAGGGCGGCTGGATGGAGGGCGGCTGGATGGAGGGCGCCTGGCGGCCGCTGTGCGCACTGAGTTTGCAACGACAGGCTCAGGCTTAGGAGGAACTGCGTCAGTTGAGAGAAAAGAAGGAGGGAGCTGCCCGTCACCATGGGGCTCTGTGAGAGCGAGGTCCTGTTGGCCAGTGACCCTGGCTTTACTTGTAATCTGGGGCAGAACTAGCACGTCTGCCAGGCCCCGCCACCCTCCCAGTGGGCATCCAGGTGGCGTGGGGAGGCTCGTCCTCGGGAGTGACTCAGGGACCTGCGTCTCGGAGCCGGCACCACGGGGCAGGAGCTCGGCTCTTCTGCGTGTCTCGCGCACATCGCCCGGCCTTGTTTCGGCAGCTCTGGCCTCCGGGAGGCCCTGAGTGCTGCAGGATCCGTCGCTGGCCACGCGCAGCCCTTTCTCTGCTGGCAGCCCGGGTGGAATCCCCACTCCCTCCTGGGCTCACCTCTTGTGTTCTCCTCACCCGGCCTGCCCCTCAGCCGTTAGAGAGCCTCCAGGAGCGTCTGCAGGGTGCGAGCAGCTGCCTGTCCCCCAAGTGTTAGAATACAGACGCCTGAGTTGTGGGGGCCTGGCCCTGGTTGGGGAGAGTGTGCCCCCCATACGCCCTAGGCCCATGGCAACCCTGGGAAGGGTCTGGTCCCTTCGGGGGCGGTGCTGGGAGGGGCCGTGGCCGGCCAGCTCCGTCTCTCCACAGCTGGGGCTGCCCGAAGCAGAATTACACCTTCAACGAGTCGTCCTCCGAGATCAATTGGTGAGTTTGCCACCCAGCTCCCACTCAGAGGCCCAGGGCCGGGTCGGGTGGACAGAGGGTGACACTGCCCAGCCCCCCAGGATAGATGCCCAGCCGCAGCCCGTGACCCTCCTGGGACCCCCAGGCCCTGGCCAGGCAGTGGGCAGTGGCGGGATGGCCCCTCAGCGTACAGCCCCTGAGGCCCGGGAGCAATCTAAGAGTGACAGCAGGGGTCACCAGCAGCCGGCCTGGCCCAGCCCTCACGGACCGTGGGTGGGAGGAGAGATGCAGTGAGGACCTGCCGGAGGGTCAATCGCTGCCTCTGCAACTCACGGCCCTTTAGCCAAAGAGAGCAGGCGCCCAGTCAGGCAGGGGGAAGTGACGCCAGAGCGGCGGGGGCGCCCGGCCCACAGGTCAGGACGTGTCCCAGGGCCTTGGCCGCCTTCTTGATGGAAGCTTCTCCCTTCCAGCCTCCCCAAACCCAGAGCCCCCCTTTGGCCTTAGCCTGCACCTACGCCCCTCCCCTGGCACCCCCGGCCCAGCCTCGCAGAGCGGTCCTGGTACTTGGCAGTAGCAGGACCCAATGTACCAGACCCTGAGCACTGTGTCCCCAGCTCCGCAGCTTCTCCCGCTCTGGCCTGGTCGCCCTGTCCCTGGAAGGCACGCACAGCTGGGGTGGAAGGGACATGCCAGCCCCTCCCTTCACACCCGGCCCTGGAAGCCTCTCCTTTCTGGGCCTGTGCCTCGGAGTGGCGGCCAGGGCAGCTCCTGAGCCCGGGCCCAGCTCTCGTCCAAACAGCCCTGAAGGCCCGGGGATTTCAGAGTCTGTGTCCCTCGGCCGAGGAAACAACAGCCCAACGCCTCCACTGCGGCGGGGGCCCTCCCACCCCACAGGGGCCCACGGGGGTCAGGGCCTTGGCCGTCTGGGGTCTGGCTCTGCACTGAGCACGGCCACCCGACCCCTCCTGCTGGTCTCGCCCCAGCCTTTGTCCCGGGGCTGCGTCTGGGCAGGGACACCCCCACCCAAGTCACTCTCCTCCCCTGCTGGGTTATGGATGAGGACCTGAGGTCGGAAACCGGGGAGCGTGATGGCCAGCACCCCTGCCCCTGCGGGGACGGGCATAGGAGCCTGTCCCCGGGAGCCCAGATGAGAAGGGGACGCCACCTGGGCCAGCTGCGGACTCTGAGCCCACGGCCCGTCCCCAGGGCAGCCCGCTTAGGCCCTGGCCTCACAGGCCCCGCCCTGGGGCCCCCTTTCCCCGGGCACCTCCCCTTCCCTCCTGCCCTCGGCCCCTCCGAGGGCAAGGCTGCTGCCCTCCGTCCAGCTCAAGCAGCAGCCTGCGGTCAGTAGAGGCCCAGGGCTCACCTCCCTCTCTCCCCAGGGCCCCCATCCTGTGGGTGGAGAGGAAGACGGCTCTGTGGGCCACTCAGGTGAGTGGAGGCAGCACGGCTCTGGGGGGCCCTGCCTGCCCCGGCCCCGCTCAGAGGCTCCGGCCCCTCCCCGCCCCAGGTCACCGTGGCCGCTGTCAGCTTCCTGGAGACCATGCTCCTCACTTACCTCAGCTACAAAGTAAGTGCCCCCAGGCCTGGCCCTGCCCTCCCCCCGCACCCCTCCCCCCCCCCCGCCCCCCCCCCCCCCCCCCGCACCCCTCCCCACGCCCCTCCCCCCTACACCCCTCCCCCCGCACCCCTCCCCGCCCACCTGCTCTGAAGCCCACCCGCCTGGCTCCCCAGGGCAACATCTGGGAGCAGATCTTCCGTGTGGCCTTCGTCCTGGAGATGATCAACACGCTGCCCTTCATCATCACGGTGGGTGAGCCGCCAGCTGGGGAAGGGGCCGCCGAGCCCGCGCCCCCTGACCCGTCTCCTCCGCAGATATTCTGGCCACCACTGCGGAACCTGTTCATCCCGGTGTTTCTGAACTGCTGGCTGGCCAAGCACGCCCTGGAGAACATGATTGTGAGCCGCGGGCCGGGCAGCTCTGGGCAGGGTGGGCTCCCCCCTGCCCCGCCCCTCCCCTCCCGCTTCACCTCTGCGAGGCCCCCAGGACCCCAGGGCACAGCTCGCCATGCCCTGGCCCTGTGGGGAGCTGGCCAGCTTCCTTTGGTGCCCAGGAGGCCGGGCTGACCGGTGGACAGACGTGTCTCTGTCACCACGAGATGCCCTCACACCTCCTTCCTGACCAGCCGGAGCCCCAGCCCTGATGCCCCGGGAGAGTCCCCCAGGCCTGTCCCTGCCCCTGGAATCGTGGCTGGAGGAGGGAGAGGGTGAAAGTGCACGTGAGCGCAGGCGCGGCCCCGAGACACGGGCCACGGCAGACCCTGTGCTGAGGTCTGAGCGAGGCCCCTGTCGGCAGGCGGCGCAACGACTGTTTTCTCCCAGGGTGCCCCTCCCCAGCCCAGGCTCCCTCGGCTCACCTCCATCCCCATTGCAAAGTGAGGTGACGGCGCTGAGGTCACGGCCTCTGGCCTGCGCCCCGGGTCCTCCCCTGGCATGGCAGAGGCTGGACGGGGAGGCCGAGCGCTGAGGTCAGGTGGAGCCGCCCCCCCCCCCACCGTTCATTCATTCTCGTGCATCTGGGACATACGGGGCGGGGGTTGGGGGGGGTGGGGGTGGGCCCTGGGCTCCGACCAGTCCCTGCTCTGCCCCTGATAGCGCCACTTCCCGCAGAACGACTTCCACCGAGCCATCCTGCGCACCCAGTCGGCCATGTTCAACCAGGTCCTCATCCTCTTCTGCACCCTGTTGTGCCTGGTCTTCACGGGGTGAGTCCCTGCCAGGCGGCCGCGTCGCCCGGCCCTCACGTCCGAGAAGCCGGGGTGGAGGACCGGAGGCAGCTCGGAGCCCCGGTTCCTAGGCCAGAGCTGCCGAGTCCAGCTCCTCTGGGGCCCAGAGAGACGTGGTGGAGGAGGGCACTGGCTGGGGGGACGGGGGGGACCCTCGGCTCGAGGTCCAGCCGAGAATAAGGTCTGGGAGCAGCCTGGGGGCTGGAGCGGAGAGCACGCCCCCCCGCACGTGCCTGTGCCCTGGGCGAGGACACGGGCAGGTCCCAAGGCCGTGTGCCTCCCACCTCCCCTCCCCCATGCCCCCCGACACACGCAGACGCACACTCCAGCGGAGTGGGGCGGGGTGTCCGCGGGGCAGGAAGCGCCGGGGTGGTCCAGCCTGCCCCCTCCCCGCAGCCAGCGCGTCCACCCTGGGGAGGGCCCCAGCACCGCTGTGTGCCGCGCCATGGTGTATGTGGGGACGGGCCACGGGGCCATGGCGGGGGAAGGACTGTCCAGCTCTAGCTGGGCGGGGGGGCTGGGCGTGCCCCGCGCCGTCTGACCTCCTGGGGGAGGATGAGTTCCGAGGTGGGTGGCAGGTAGGGGCTCGCAGCCTGGGCGGCCCCGTCCACCTCCTCTGACCCCAGGCCCACGCTGAACCCACGCAACGCTGTGTCCGCGCTCCTGTCCAATTTTCCAGGGGCCTCAAAGGCGCCTCGGGGCAGGAAAGGAAAGCCCGGGGGTATGCGCTGGGTGTGCCAGCCCTGCAGGCCAGGGTCGGGAAGCGCAGAGCGGGACCCGGGCCCAGGCTGGGGCGCCGTGTCGGCGACAGCTGACGTGCTGTCGCGGGCAGGCCCGGCCTCGCCCCAGGCGCCAGGCCGGCCGAGGCCCTGCCACCACCCCCATCCCCGGTTCCAGGACCTGCGGCATCCAGCACCTGGAGCGCGCGGGCGGCAACCTGTCCCTGCTGACGTCCTTCTACTTCTGCATCGTCACCTTCTCCACCGTGGGCTACGGAGACGTGACGCCCAAGATCTGGCCGTCCCAGCTGCTGGTGGCCATCATGATCTGCGTGGCCCTCGTGGTGCTCCCGCTGCAGGTGTGAGCCCTGCCCGGCGGGGCCGAGAGGGGCGAGGAGGGGCGCCAGTCCTGGGAGGGGCCGCAAGGCTGAGACCCCTACGGGGACACGTGGGGCCTGCCGGGGCCTCCTGGGGGCCTGTGGCTAGTGAGGCCCGCAGCCGTCAGGACAGTGGGGGGGGGCGTGCTCAGACGGCTCCCCCGGGTCCCGTGCGGAGTGTGGAGCACGGGGGGCTGCCAGGGTGTCCCGCGGGCTGGGCATCAGGAGTCCTTAGCCGGTGCAGCGGCAGCAGCTGTCTGTCAGGACCCCGTGGGGCACAGCTGCTTCCCTGTTGCCTGTCAGCAAGGCCAGTCTGCCGGCTGAGCCACCCGTGTTTAGATACGACGGGTAGAGGCCTGGAGAGGGGCCGGTGGCTGCAGGCACCCCCAGCCCTCCAGAGGGCAGGAGAAGGCCCAGGGGAGGGATCAGGATGGATTGGGGGAAGCCAGACCCCACGGGGGACACTCAGGATTTGGAGGGACGGGGCAAGGGAGGTGCCTGTGGCTGCAACGGGGGCCAGTCCACCCCCGGGGTCCTCTGCTGACCCTGAGCTCAACTCCCCACCCCCGCCCCGCGGCTCGGAGCCCCCAGCCCCAGCCGACAACCCCCCTTCCCTGCTTTCCCCCTGGTCCGGAGCACAGCCCACCCCCTCCAGGAAGGCCAGCTGCATGCGAGGGACACCCGTGGGCCGAGAGCCCTAACAGAGGTCTCGCCCCCATCCCCGCGCTCGCCGGAACTTGCCTTCCTGGACCTGGTTCAGCAGTGGCCTCCTCCCTGGCCTCCACCTGAAGCCCCGTCCTCCCCCCATTCCCCCCCACCCCCGGCAGGGCCCCCTCAGGCCACAGAGCACCTCAAGGTGGGCCGTCCACTTTCCCAGGGCCCTGGCTGCTTATAGAATCCATGTTCACGTTTTATTATATTTTCATACAATCATATTTTTTAAATCGTATTTTTAATATTTTAGATATCTAAATTTATATGTTAATTACTTTTTGTTATAAGTTCAGTTGCATTTTTAGTTATATAGTTATGAACATCATTATTTGTTTTATGTTTTTAATTCTAATTAATCATATTTCTTTAAGTTTAAATTATATCTTTACGTTACTACCCGGAACTTTTTCAAGCCTGGCAAGTCTGTCCCACTCAGGAGCTACCTCAGGAGAGAGAGGGGACGATCTCCCCTCCCCGGTTGTGGGGCTGTTGTGGGGCAGGTTGTGGGGCTGGGGGCTGTCCCCCGTGTGTGTGCCCCCCGTGAGTGCACAGAGGGGTCGTGTGTGGTTTCAAGTAAACGGTGCCAGGTAAGCTGGCTCCCGCCCCCTGGCATCCTGGACGCCTCCGCAAGGCTGTGCCCTTGTCCCACGGCTGCGGAGCTTCTGTTCCTGCGGTGCTCTGGCCCCCACGCTCCTGGCGGGTGCAGGGGCCGCTCAGAGCTGGTGTTTACATCCCATCACCCAGGCCAGGCTGGTGCCCAAGCCCCAAGGAGAGGGAGGCCGCAGGGCCCGGCATCGGAGGCACACACCATCCTCCAGGGCTAGTGGAAGGTCAGGACCCGCGAGACTGACTAATCTGTTGTCAGTGATGGAAAGGGACGGTCTCAGTTACTGTCCTTCGTTCTTTCTTTAACTACGTTCACCAGTTAGCGCCCTTAGAGACGGTGACAGCGGAATGCCCACCTGTAGATGTTCCTTGCAGAGTAACAGTGACGACAGCTGAAAGCATCCTCCCCGCTCAGGGCTGAGTTTCACACATCAGCGCGGTGCTTCCTGTAGCTGCCGGAACAGAGCACCCCACAAATGGGGGGGTGGGGGCTTAAACAACAGAAATTTACTCTCTCACAGGCCAGAGCCAGAGTCTGAGACCGAGGTGTCAGCAGGGCTGGTCCTGGAGGCTTGAGGGGAGGCTCTGCTTCCGCGTCTCCAGCTTCTGGTGGCGCCATGGTCCTTGGCGCCCTGGGGCTTGTGGCCGCCTCCCTCTCAGCTCTGCCTCCGTCTCCACGTGGCTTATTCCTGCACCTCTGTGTCCTCTCGTTACGGGACACCGGCCACTGGAGGTAGGGCCCACCTTAATCCAGTCTGACCTCATCTTAACTCGTTACATCCTCAAAGACCCTATTTCCAAATAAGGTCACGTTCGGAGGGCCACCCCTGTGACATGGGAGGCTTGAATCCAGGTGTCTGCCGTCAGAGCCCCAGTCCTGCACAGGCCTCAGGGATCACCCTGGGGTCTCCGGCCCTTCCCACTAGGGCCCAGTCCTGTGCTTCAAGGCCACAGGGCCTTGTCACTGGAGCCTAGTAGGTGCTCAATAAATTCAATGAGCTGATCTCCCCTTAGCAAGATACAGCGCGTCACCCAGAGCAGGTGAGAACCAGAGGGTGTGGCTGCTGCCATTCATTTAAAATTGTGTGGAAAAAAAATGAACGACCTCAGTGCTTTCACGGGGTCTGGCTGTCACCCAGACGGGATGTCAGACAGTAGCGGCAGGTCCTGGGCAGGTCAGCACCCCGGTCGGCTCCGTGGAGCCTGGAGTCCCCTCACCGCCAGCCCACCTTTATAGATGTGTCACTGTCCTACTTACAAAGGGCTCTCAACACCCAAAGCTCACAGCCAGGAGGTGTGGGCCAGGGTGGACGGCACCCCCAGACGGCAGCCTCCAATCAGCCACACCCTTGACCTGGGCTCAGAACCGTGGTACTCAAAGTCCTCCTTCCATGCCGGGCACCTGGGTCCCTCATTCTAGGCCTGAGGCTTTTCTCAGACACGTTTCCAGGTTTCTCCAAAACGTGTCTCAGGTGCTGACGGAGACCCAAGGGGCTCAGTTACCTGCATGCTCGGAGCGTATACTTCGGCACCCACTAACGGTCGCTTGGCCTCCTGGGGCTGGGAGCTGGACCTGCCACGTCTCTCACTACCCCACACACTGGCGGGACCGTCCACTCTGCCCCCACCTGGCCCCTTGAGCGACCTGTGCCGCAAACTTTGCCTGTGGTCTTCCGAGACGTGGTCGGGACGCAGCTCCCGGAGCCCCAGGCCTCCTGGAGTTCACACGCTCTTACCTGCAGTTTGAGGAGCTCGTCTACCTGTGGATGGAGCGGCAGAAGTCGGGGGGCAACTACAGCCGCCACCGGGCCCAGACGGAGAAGCACGTGATCCTGTGTGTCAGTTCCCTCAAGATCGACCTGCTCATGGACTTTCTGAATGAGTTCTACGCCCACCCCCGGCTGCAGGTGAGGCCCCGCCCACGGCCCCACCCCACCCCAGTGCCCCCTGAGCTCCCTGGGCCTGGGTTTCCCTGCCTGTGCAGTGGAGCCCCGGTGGTCTCCCACACTGTGGGGGTGGGTCTGTGGGGTCCTGCCTTTCCCTCCTGCCAGATGCACCATCACAGAGAAGGCTGGGGCTCCTGAGAGGCGACTGGTGTGGAAACACTAGGAAGGAGGGTGGGCTGGAGCCGAGCAAGCCTGCCAGCAGGGCTGACGCCCTCCTACCTGCAGGACTACTACGTCGTCATCCTGTGCCCCACCGAGATGGACATCCAGGTGCGCAGGGTCCTGCAGATCCCCCTGTGGTCCCAGCGGGTCATCTATCTCCAGGGCTCCGCGCTCAAGGACCAGGACCTCATGCGGGCCAAGTGAGCGCCGGCGGGGGTGAGGGTGCGGTACCGCGCCGGCCGCACGGGCAGGCCAGGGAGGGGCCCTCAGGCAGGCAGCAGCTCCCTCTCTGTGCCTGTCACCCACCCGGGCGGGCCAGGCCCCCCGCTGACCCCGGCAGAGCCGCCTGGGCGAGCCCACCAGCCTCCTCCCACCTGCCCGGCTGTTCATCTGGGGGCCTGGGGGCAGCTGCCGCTCTGAGTCAGGTGGGAAGCCGAGGCTGTGGGCAGGTTTTCTCCTGAAGACGAGGTGACAGGGTGACTTGAGGTAAGGAGGCTGAGTTGTGAATGGAACTTTCCAGAATCTGCTGCAGCACACAGACACCCCGGAGGCTCCCCCGTCACCCGTCAGGATTTTATTCCAGAGCCTGACGTAACCTTCGAGGTGAAATGTGGGTTGTGTGGAGGCCAAGGAAGCAGGAGGCCCGGCAGCCGGGGCCCCCCCCCACGCCTACCTTCTGAGCCTCGGGCCCCACAGGCTCGCCCAGGAATCAAGGCCCCAGACAGGGACAAGTTGGGGTGCCAGGTGACGGGGTGGGAGCCGCCAGGCCCCCCAGCCCTGGGGCGTGGACAGTGTCTCAGCCACCCTTTGTGCAGCCAGGGGCTCTGGGGGCATGAGGGGAGCAGAACGGGTCATCCACAGGCCTCGGGCAGCCTGTCCCGGGAGAGGACAGGCCAGCGGGCAGGGTCCAGCCTCTCTGCCACCAAGTGGGCCCTTCATTCCGTGCCCCAGCCCCACCCCGGGTCAGCAGGGGCCCATCCTCAGCCCATCCAGGGCTCCTCAGAGCGAGCTGGGGTCTCAACAAGGCCCAGCTCTTCCCCTGACGGCCGAGACGGGAGCACCACGGACGGCCCTGGTGGTGCTCAGACCCGGTGCTTTGCAGGATGGACAACGGGGAGGCCTGCTTTATCCTCAGCAGCCGGAACGAGGTGGACCGCACCGCAGCGGTGAGCGCCCCCACCACCTGCTCGCAGGCCCCGGGGGAGGGGGGGGGGCGCCTGGGGGCAGAGCCCCTCCCCCAGGCTGCTGCTGCCCGTCAGCACCGACGTGGCCTCCCTGCCTCAGGACCACCAGACCATTCTGCGCGCCTGGGCTGTGAAGGACTTTGCCCCCAACTGCCCTCTCTACGTCCAGATCCTCAAGCCGGAGAACAAGTTTCACGTCAAGTTTGCAGGTATGTTTGGCCCGGAGGGGGGCGCCTGTGTGCTCACGGGCGAGCGTGTGGGGTGCGGGATAGAGGCAGAGCCCATGCAGGTTCTGCACCTGGGCCTGGGGGCCAGGGCGGGCAGAAGCAGTGTCTGACGAGCACCTCTGTGGGCGTGCCCGAGCTGAGCGCCTGTGCCGACCCCTGGAGGGCACAGGCGAGAAGGCCTGTGCTGGACACCTGGGGGACCAATGAACAGGCCCCCCCACCCCGGCCCCAGCCCTGGAGCTCTCGGTCAAGCCCGGAGACAAGCACAGGAGAACCGAGACAATGAACCGGCTCCCAGGGGCAGGGCGGCTGGATGGCGCTGAGCAGGGCGGGGAGGGGTTCTGGGGGGGTGCTGGGCAAGGGGGCGTGTGCCGTGGGGCAGCAAGAGCCTGTGGTGGCCCTGGCGCTCCTGCCCGCAGAGCACGTGGTGTGTGAGGAGGAATGCAAGTACGCCATGCTGGCCCTGAGCTGCATCTGCCCGGCCACGCCCACCCTCATCACGCTGCTGGTGCACACGTCCCGAGGCCAGTGAGTGCTGCCCGCAGGGCCGCGCGGCCAGCGAGACGGGGGGCTGCTGGGGGAGCGGGAGGCGTTGAGGAGACCTGTGATGGGAGGGGCCGAGGCCCGGGGAAACGACCGCCGTGGACCCAGCTGAGGAAGCGGTCGGTGCCTCGCCGAGCGAGGGGTTGCAGCTGGGGGCGGCCTGGGGGCTGCTGGGAATTGCAGGCGGGGCCCGCCGCGGAGCAGAGGGCCGTAGCGGGGGCAGCAGGAGAGCCCTGGGATCTAGGCACAGTGACGGGGTCTGGCGGGGCTTGGTTTGTAAGAGAAGACGCGTTTGGTGTTGGGCACCTGGGCTGGGGTCCCAGGCAGAGCCTGAGGCGAGGGGCTGCCCTGGGACAGAGGAGGGGCACCATCTTCTCTCTGGGAAAAACAGGCTGGGGTGTGGGGGGCCCCGACGGGTGGCCTCGGCTCCTTGTGGGGCCTGGGCGGCCCTGGGGGAGGGACCAGGCAGGGGAAGAGGACGTGGCCCGGGGTTCCTGGGAGGACACAGGCCGCAGAGGCCAGTCTTGACTCTGAAATATTTTGACACTCCTAAAAATCAGACCATTGTGTTTACAGCTTTTTAAAACTGGCCAAGGACCCATCAGGCCACCCAGGTCTAGTCTCAGCCAGACGGGGAGGGGCTGGGGTCAGGGGTCACGCTGGCTTCCACCCACACCGGCAGAAGCCACATTTGGGGGGCACCATAGCCCAGCTGGGCGGGGGCGGCCGTGGGGTGACACCCTCCCCACGCCCCAGGGAAGGCCAGGACTCACCGGAGCAGTGGCAGCGCATGTACGGACGCTGCTCGGGCAACGAGGTCTACCACATCCGCATGGGGGACAGCAAGTTCTTCCGCGAGTACGAGGGCAAGAGCTTCACCTACGCTGCCTTCCATGCGCACAAGAAGTACGTCCCCCAACCCGGTCCACGCCAGGGTGGGAGGAGTGCGGGGCGGGGTCCGGAGGTTGAAATGGGCGTGGCCCGTGCCCGCTGCAGGGTGGACCAGCGGGGCCTCAGGGTCAGACGTCACGCCCATTCAGCCGTGAGACCCGCACGGGGTCTCTCTCTCTCTCTCTCTCTCTCTCTCTCTCTCTCGCTCCCTCCCTCCCTCGCTCCCTCCCTCCCTCCTCCCTCTCTCTCTCTCCCCCCCCCACCCCGAGGCTGCCCTCGGTGGGTCTTTGCGTCGAGTGGGAAGGCATCCCGACACCCGTGAGCGGAGGGCTGCACCGTCAGCCCCCAAGGAGCCCAGGAGGGGCAGCTTTGGGCCCCATCAAGCCCCCGCCCTGTCCGCTCAGGTACGGCGTGTGTCTCATCGGCCTGAAGCGGGAGGAGAGTAAGAGTATCCTGCTGAACCCGGGGCCCCGGCACATCCTGGCCGCCTCCGACACCTGCTTCTACATCAACATCACCAAGGAGGAGAACTCGGCCTTCATCTTCAAGCAGGAGGAAAAGCAGAAGAAGAAAGGCTTCGCGGGGCAGGGGCTGTACGAGGGGTCGTCCCGCCTGCCCGTGCACAGCATCATCGCCTCCATGGGTGAGGCCGAGTCCAGCTCCCGGCGGGGCGGGAGGGGCGGGCGGGGGACCCACCCAGGAGACCCAGGTGCTCAGGCCCGCAGCGTAACCCTGGGCAAGTCCCGCCTCTCTGGCCTCAGTTTGCACATCTGTCCCGCGCCCGGGTGAGACCGCCCTGCGTCAAGGGTCACTGGGAGCCTCTGTCCACCACCACTCCGGGAACCCCTGTCCCCGGGACAGACAGGGGAGGGACTTCCAGCCAAGTTCAGCCGCTCTGTTCCAGGGACAGTGGCCATGGACCTCCAGAACACGGAGTGCCAGCCAGCACAGAGCGGCGGAGGCAGTGGGGGCAGCAAGCTGGCACTCCCCACGGAGAACGGCTCGGGCAGCCGGCGGCCCAGCATCGCACCCGTGCTGGAGGTGGCCGACAGCTCGACCCTGCTGCCCTGCGACCTGCTGAGTGACCAGTCGGAGGACGAGACGACACCGTCAGACGAGGAGGGGCTGTCTGTGGTGGAGTGAGTGCCGCCGGGGCTGAAGGGGGAACAGAAGGCTTCCACGGGAGAGGGGAGGGGCAGCATGTGAGTACCTGGCGCCCAGGAAGAGGTGGGCCAGCGGCGCCGGTCCTGGGTCTGCCCCACGCTCTGAACAAGGCTTCCAAACGGCTTCCCTGGAGACCTTGTTTGGCAAGTGGAATCTTCTGGGGACCCAGCTCGTGGACAGGAAGGCCAGGCAGTGCCCGCCCTCACCCCTCGTCCTCCCCTATCACAACCTGAGCGGCCAGGCCTCAGTGCCACGGCCCGCTTGGCAGGGTGGCTGCCTTCTGAGCGTGGTCTGCAGAGGCCACAGACAGGGGAGCCCGGGGTGAGATGCCGTCCGGGCGTGGAGGCCACTGGCCCATCCTGAGCCGTCATGCTGCCCTGGGTTTGGGCCCAGGTCTTCCTCTGAGATTATGAGACAGAAGAGACCCCATTGTGTCCCCAGGTCTTGGCCACTTGGCCTCGTCCAGGACAGACAGGCGGTGCCTGACCCCAGGGCCACGGCCAGCTGCCGGCCTGCACGGCCAATGCTTCCCAGCCGGGCTGTCACTGCAGACCCTCTCTGCTCCTGCCTTTGCCCCGTGGTGGAGTAAACGGGCTTTAAACACAGGCTGCCGGGGACCGGCTCTGAGATTGGGGGGCCTGGCAGGGCCCCTGCACACCTGGGGCAGGTGGCGGGCTGGCCTCGGACGCCACGTCCCTTAAGCCAACCGGAGGTGGAGCGGGAGGCCAGCCCCTCTTCAGGCGGCCTGGGGGGACAACCACGGCAGGGTAACCACTGCATGTGTGTGCGCGGGGCGCCGTGGGGACGGCGGGGGGAGTACAGCCTGTGGGGCGACCAGCCTGGCCCAGGGGAGCCAGTGGAGCGGGGACCACGGGCCAGCGTCTGCCCCGGCGTTGGGGTGCTGGGGGCGCCAGGGGGTGATGGGCCGTCAGAGCCCCTTAAGGTTCTTTCGTGGCCTGTGTAAGCTCGTGTGTGTGTGTGCGTGTACGTGCGTGCGTTGCATGCAATCTTACCTGGCCCAGTCAGGAATGCAGGGGTCTGGCACCCCACCCCCATGTGGCAGCCTAGGGCCCGAGGCCAGGCTGAGGCTCCTCTCTCTCCCCCCAGGTACGTGAAGGGCTACCCCCCCAACTCGCCCTACATTGGCAGCTCCCCTACCCTGTGCCACCTCCTGCCCGTGAAAGCCCCCTTCTGCTGCCTGCGGCTGGACAAGGTAGGTCACGGCAAAGTTGGGGAAGTGGCAAGGACGTGCCGAGGACGTCCTGGACCCTGTCTGCCCTCCCCGACGTCTGTGTCTGTTGTAGAGGCGTGTTCTCTCCCTCCTGTATCCACATGCGCTTGCTGAAGCGAGGGTGCCCCTCTCGTAACCACCGTCCACTCACCACAACCGGCCTGGCCTGCAGCCCACACCCCACTGGCCCTGGTTGTCCCAGGAGCCCTCGCTGCCCTTCCCGGCCAGAGCCACAGCTTGTCTCCCTCCATCTGGACGCTCCCTGCCCCTTCCCCTCCCCAGGGTCTCTGGGCCTCCGTGTTTTGGGTTTGGTGGCGCATCCCTGGCGGGGGGCGGGGCAGGGCGGGGTGGGGGCTGGACCCCCCAGAGGTGCCGCGTCTTCCTGGAGGCCTCCCCGTGATGCTGCCTTAGAGCACGGGGTGCGGGTGCCTCGCGCACCCAGTCTCTGCTGGAGGAGCTACTGTTTTGCCTTTGCAGTTAGGACGTCATTTGTGGGGAGACACGTGGGGACCAGGTACATAAGCCGGCCTTGACTGAGCTCCCCCGACGCATTTCCGCCACAGCCGATGGTTCGCTGATTCCACTTCCTTCTGTGTTTATGTCAGCTTTTCACTGGGAGAAAGTGTTTCCTCTTTCTTAGCCATTTGTGTACATCAGTGTGGCCTCACTTTTTCACTCAGAGGGTAAACAGTTGGTCATTACTGCTACATCGGCATTCCATATGGATCACGCTGGTTTTGACACGTGGACTTCTGCTGGTCAGGCTGGCCTCCCGGTCCTCCCAACACGTCCCCTCATCTTTGAACACGTCCATGCCTTTGAACCCACGGTGCCCCCACCCCCACCCCCCGCATCTTGTTTTTGCCTTGCTCCAGTCCTGGAACCAACTGCTCCTCCAAGAAACCTGATTCCTTTTAGTGGAAACCACGTTTAGAAATAAGGTCTGGGCACTTGGTGTGCTCACTGCTGCTTTGTATCTGAGTCTCTCCACGCAGAGAGCTAGAAAGTGTGTGTACACACGAGCACACACGACCAAATGTGTACACACGTGCACGCATGACCAAATGTGTATGCACACGACCAGATGTGTACACGCATGCACACACGACAGAACGTGTACACACACGACCAAATGTGTCCACACACAGCTCATCTGTCCGTACCTGCACCTGCTAAGACCGTGTGCTCGCAGATACCTCCCTTCCCTCCCGGACGTGACCTCTCCCACGGTGGCCCCAGCGCACACTCTGCTCTGTGTGGCGGGCTGGTGGCCTGCAGCCCCGTGAGGCCAGGTGGCTGGCGACCGGGTGCCATTTGGCCGAGGACCCCAGCACGGCACCCTGGCTCCCTCCCCGGTGGTTGATCGCGGCGTCTCCCCCGCAGGGCTGCAAGCACAACAGCTACGAGGATGCCAAGGCCTACGGCTTCAAGAACAGGCTGATCATCGTGTCGGCGGAGACGGCGGGCAACGGGCTGTACAACTTCATCGTGCCGCTCCGCGCCTACTACCGGCCCCGCAGAGAGCTCAACCCCATCGTGCTGCTGCTGGACAACAGGTGAGGGGCACAGGCGCCCCAGACCTTCGGGAGGCAGGGGGGCTGCCCCGGCCCTCGGCACTGCTCCGTCGTCCTCCCGCAGGGCTTCTCCCGGCCCTACTGGGTCCCCACGACCATGAGCCCCCAGGGGCCAACCTCCAGCACTGCTACCCCCAGAGGCCGGGGTCCAGCCTCGGCTGTCCTGGACCCTGGGGCCTCGGTTTCCCCGCGGGTACGATAAAGAGCAGCCCCATTGGCCGCTAAAGGCCCCCCTGGTCCCACACGCTGCGGTCCCAGGGCCCCTGCTCGCCCAGGTCAGGGCTGGGCTGGCCGTGGGGGCTGGCGGCAGGGCAGGGTGGGCGCCTCCAGGACCTGCTGTGTCCACAGGCCTGACCACCACTTCCTGGAGGCCATCTGCTGCTTCCCCATGGTCTACTACATGGAGGGCTCCGTGGACAAGTAAGAGCCGCTCCGCAGGAGGGCCCCGCCCTCTCCCCTCCTCCCCGCGCGGCCAGGGCGGAGTGGGAGGGAGCAGGACACACCCCAGCCCGTCTCCCCGCAGCCTGGACAGCCTGCTGCAGTGCGGCATCATCTACGCCGACAACCTGGTGGTGGTGGACAAGGAGAGCACCATGAGCGCCAAGGAGGACTACATGGCCGACGCAAAGACCATCGTCAACGTGCAGACCATGTTCCGGTGCGGCGCGCGGCCCGCCCTGAGCCCCGCCCACGTCTGCGACCAGCCCCGCCCTGAGCCCCGCCCACATCCGCACCGGGACCCGCCCTGAGCCCCCGCCCACGTCCGCGACCAGCCCCGCCCTGAGCCCCCGCCCACGTCCGTGACCGGGACCCGCCCCCCGCCCAGGCTCTTTCCCAGCCTCAGCATCACCACGGAGCTCACCCACCCGTCCAACATGCGGTTCATGCAGTTCCGCGCCAAGGACAGCTACTCTCTGGCTCTTTCCAGGCTGGAGAAGGTGAGCAGCCCCGCCCGACCTGCCGAGCTGAGGGCTTCAGGCCCTGCGCCACAACCTGGAGTGGGGGGGCGACTGGGGCCATGGGAGGCCTGGGTGCCTGCCCTCCTCCGGCCAGGGGGCTCAGAGACCTGGGCTCAGCCCCAGCGCGAGGCTCTCGAGTGTGCAGCCCGGAGACCTCAGGGTCATCGGCCAGGAGCGGACATTGTCCCCCTAACGTCGGGCCTGGCCCGGCCTCGTGTGAGGCAGAGGTTGCCCGTCACACCAGGAATTACTAGCCCAGGTGATACCGGCCCCGACACCATGCCCAAACCTGAATCGTGTCCATTCTGTCAACTGCCCAGCAGGGACGTGCTCGTCCCGGTACAGTCAGGGTGGGGGATAAGGGGGCGCAACTTGCCTCAGGTCACACGGCAGTGCGGTGGGACAGCTGAAGTCAGCTCCAGGAAGGGCATCAGCTGGGCCCAGGTGTGGAGCCCAGGGACACGGGTGGCGCGGGCCTGGTGGTGCTGCCCTGGCACGTTTGTGGGCCCCAGGCCGCTGCCCGGGTCAGTGCAGCACTACCTTCCACCAAGGGGCAGGGCCGTGCTCAGGCTGCCTTGGGTGAAACCAGGAAGCAGGTGGGCTGCCACGGAGGAGACCCTGGCTGCTGCGGTTGGGAGCAGTGACCATTCCCTGGGAGCCTGGGCTGAGGTCCTCGTCAGGGGACGGCTTGCACTTGCGTGGCTGACCCTGTGCCACACCGGGGAGGACCCCCGAATGGCCGCTCCCCCAGGCCAGGCCTGGCCACCGACAGCAGACAGAGGGACAGCATGGGAGCTCTGAACCCGGACAGACAACAGAAGTGAGTTCCCGTGGTGGCCCTGGAGCTCCTTGGATGGCACCTGGGGGCCTCAGTCAGCGGCCCGGGAGCTCGGGCCATCCTGCTCTTGGAGGAGGCTTGGCCTGCACCCCACACGATGGCCCAGTGGACGCCCCTAAAGGCCCCCTTGCAGTGCCCCGTGAGCTGAGCCTGCCTCCACTCAAGGCTGAGCCGTGGGCTTTGGAAGTCGGCCTCAGCAGCCCCAGCTAGACTGTATCCAGGCGCTCGGGCCAGTCTGATCCAAGCACGGGCAGGGGTGACCAGCACAGAACTGGGGTCAAGGCTGATACCCTGGTGCTGGCCCTCACTTGCCGCCTTCCCTCGAGCAAACCCAGTTCCCCACAGGCCTTGCACCCGGACCTGTTCCGGAGGTGGGCGTGAAGTAGGTCCGTCAGCAAACACGCGGCAAACGTCCTCCCACTCCCCTTTCCTTGCACGGCAGACATCTCAAATCCACCTCCCACCCCCTCTCTCTGTGGCAGGCATCACCACTTGATAGCACCTTCCTCTGCAGCATTGTCTCCAGGGGCAGGGGCGGGCGGCCCACTCCCCACCCCGTGGGTGCACGCTGGGGAGCCCAGTCCTGTCGTTTGTGATCTGGAGAAAAGTCAGGAAGTGAGCACGTGTGACCGTGGGCGGCTGCAGCCTTGGGCGCTTGCCGGCTGAGGTCCACGTGGGGCGGGGCCGAGGATGGGGCGGGCGGGCGGGCAGAGCCACGTGATGCCACCCAGTCTCTGGAGACGGAGCTGGCGCGCCCACCCCGCGCAGAGAGGATTCCGCGGAGGATGGGGAGGGAAGATGGGATCGCGCTGTACATACAACTGCATGAGACAAGTCCTGTTTAATGAGTAGAAACTGAAGGGACACTGGAAATACTTCCGGCGTTCAGATCAACGTGCTTCCAAGAGGTCGCGCTGGCACTGGGGGGTGATTCAGGCATAGAGGGTGGCGTCCGTGTCTCCCTGGAGGTTGTTCTCAGGAAGATCTCCCAGAGTCGGGGTTCCCCACCGCATCCCAGGACGCAGGCTCCCAGTGGCGTCATCGTTCTAACAGTCTCAGCGCCTGTGACAGTGACCTCGGCCAGGAGCCCGTTCAGACTGGCCCCTCTTCGGCAGGGCCCCGGATGCCCGTCCAGTCCTGCTCCTGCTTCCCTCTGGCCGCGTGGTTCTCAGGAGGGCTCGTCCCCGTGTGTTCCCACGTTTCGCTGTCGCGTGCGACCTCGGAGCTGGGGCTAAAGCCTCTGGACCCTCCGCGGCCGCTACAGAGTGGACAGCGTGAAACCAGGGCCCTCGTTCAGAACGCAGGAAAGTCCTGTGAAGCCACTGAAACGTCAGGCCTCTTCCTTCCTCCTCGGTGTCCCGACCCGTCCTGGTTCTCTTCTTCTCAAACCATTCATTTTTCTGAGTGAAGGGAAACTGACAATTTTAACGATTTCGGGAATCTCTCCGTTTGTCCTCATAACGTGCGACCTGGGCTCTGAATGACACCGTGGGACGCAGCCTGGAGTCACCACGCCACGCGGCTCTGGATCTGCGGCTCTCATGTGATAGCGCACTGTTTCCCTCCTGGATGCCCGCGTGCCGTCCAGCACGCCCTTGGGCTCCCTGCTGGTGGGGAGGGACAGAGGCGAGGCCTCCTTCCCCGGGCGTCTGTCTGCCCCGCCGTCCAACCTTACAGCAAGGAGGCTGCCGAGGCCAAGTGCAGCCTCAGCGAGAGGGGCCACGAGAGGGCTCTTGGTGGGCTACGCGGCCCACCTTCTGTCTGTCTGAAGCGTGTTCTGGTCCAGCAGGAAGGACAGTCTCCCGGGCTCAGAGCCACCTCTCAGCCATAGGCCGACCTGGTGCGGCGGGGACAACGCCCCCAAAAGCCCCTGCCCTAGCCCCGGAACCAGCACGGGGTGGAGAAGACGATTCCATGAAGAATCCTGAGATGGAGGGGGCCCTGGTTCACCCAGGGCCCACACGCCATCACCAGGGGTCTTGCAAGAGGGAGGCCCATGGAGGTGGAGGAAGGGCCAGAGGTCAGGGACATGGTCAGCCTCTGGAAACGACGAGAGGGAGAGGAAAGGGTGGTCCTCTGGGGCCGCCGGCTGGAGCACGGCACCGTGACACCTGATTCCAGCCCCTGAAGTCTGTTCGGACTTGGAACGTCCAAAACCGACAGAGTAAACGCGTGTGGTTTTGAGCTTTGGGGTTTGTGGTCGTCCGTTCCGCGGCCACGGGAGCCCCACACAGTGGGTCTAAGGGACCCACGTGGAGCCTCGCGACGCCATGCACGCAGCACAGGCAGACACGTCTGTCTCTGCTCACGCGCGTGCCTTGCCGTCCTGTCAGTTTCGCTCATGGACTCGTGCTCCGGGGTGAAATTACCGTAAGGGTTAGGGTTCCGTGATGGCAACGGCAGGGCGTTAAACCAAGTCCAGGCTCCCGTTTCTTCCCAGCAGAGCCCCGAACCCTTACCCCCGCCTCTGGCCCCCCGTGTGTCTGGGGGGACGCGTAGCTGGGTGCTCGGCCTGTGGTCAGCCGTCTGCTGTGTGTGTTCACACGCTCACCCTGCACACGCGCACACACCCCGTGCACGCGGAGGTCCCTGGGCTGCCTGCCCTGCGCGGCCGCGGCCGTGGCCACGGGCACCAGCCAGCCTGAGCCCCTCGTCCTGCAGAGGGAGCGGGAGAACGGCTCCAACCTGGCCTTCATGTTCCGCCTGCCCTTCGCCGCCGGCCGCGTCTTCAGCATCAGCATGTTGGACACGCTGCTGTATCAGGTCAGCAGGGGCGGGGGGCCAGCGCCTGGCATCCGGTTCCAGTCCTGAGCCACGTGCCCCTCGCTGAGCACCCACCCCTGGGTCCCCAGGAGGCCGGCCAGGACTGGGAGGCTCGGGGCCCCATCCCCGCCGGGGAGCAGCAGGGGTTCACCCGAGTGTCCCCCGTCCTTTCCTCCCAGGAGAGCGCTACCCTGGGGTTGGCTCCCGGCAGCCTCTGGGTTTCTGATCCCTTTTGCCCTAGTGCACTCGGCCTAGTGAGCGACCACGGCCAGGAAAGGCCGCCCAGCTCTGTCTGCTGGGCGCACCGCACGGGAGGCTGTGGGCGCCCGGCGCGCGTGTCCAGGGGATGTGGAGGCAGATCTGCCCGCACTGCCCGGCCTCACTGCGGTCTCTCCTCTCCAGTCCTTCGTGAAGGACTACATGATCCCCATCACCAGGCTGCTCCTGGGGCTGGACACCACGCCGGGCTCCGGCTACCTCTGTGCCGTAAGTGCCTGGGCCAGGCGGGCAGGGCGGGCGGGCCCTGCTGGGGAGGGTCCTCCTGCCCGAGGCCGGCCCAGCGCAGGCTCCTGCGTTCCAGATGAAGGTCACAGAGGACGACCTGTGGATCCGCACCTACGGCCGCCTCTTCCAGAAGCTGTGCTCGTCCAGCGCCGAGATCCCCATCGGCATCTACAGGACCGAGAGCCACGTCTTCTCCTCCTCGGAGGTGCGGGGACGGGGAGGAGAAGGGCTCCCCGAGGCGGCCCCGTTGCTCTGTGACTCGGACCGCCCCTTTTCCAGGTTGGGGATCTGGGCCTTTGCTGTCAGGCCCTTTTTGGGTCAGGCCCACATACCTCCATACGTGGACATCCCCTGGGTGGGTATGACCACCCCCATGGGGGAGGGGCGGCTCGAGAGCACTGTGGGGCCCCTGTGCCGCCCGCTGGAACTGCAGAGGGTGGCCTGCCCACGGGTCCTGAGTCCACGAGGGCTCAGGCAGCCTTGGGGGTCAGGGCAGGAGCCCCACAGGTACCCAGGCTGCCCTGGTTTCCTTTGCAGCCTCACAACCTCAGGGCCCAGGTGAGTGGTCCCTTCAGGCCCACAGGGGTTCACTTAACATGCACGAGTCCCGCCTGGCAGGGGCGCAGGGCCCTGGGCTCTGGGTGACGGGTCAGGGAGCGAGGCCCCAGGATGCGCCAGCCAAGGTGCAGCTCAGAGAGGGCTCCTGGCATCACCCCAGCCCCCATACAGATGGGCAAACTGAGGCCCAGGACGGGAAGCCCAGGGTCCCCCAGCCCCCATGACATCTGCCTTTCGTGCCGCGGCTCCCGTCCTGGCAGGTACCCCCTCCTCCCCGCTGTCCATCCCGACCTCCACACCCCAGAGCCCCACACCCCGACTGAGCCACGCAAGGCCCTGGAACTTCCCAGCCTACCACGTGCCCCACCCCCGCTCTCTCCTGCCCCCCAAGATGAGGAAACTGAGTCGCACAGAGGAGGTGCCCCCCCCCCCGCCCCATGGCAAAGCCGGGACACGCAGGGCCCAGAGAGGTTGAGGGAGGTACCCCTCTCACCAGCAAATCAGAGACAGACCTAGAGCCAGCAGCTGGGACAGCTGAGTGGTTTGGGGCTGTGGCCCGGCACCCTCTGCCCAGCTGCAGAGGAAGGCACTGGCGTCCCTGGGCTGAGCTGCCCCCAGGGACTGTGACTGTCCTCCTCCCTGTCACCCCAGCTGCTCTGTGGGTCACCCCATCCTCTGCCCGGCACCCCTCCCAACCCGTCCCAGCCCCTCCCCCGTCCCCTATCTCCCTCCCCGTGCCCGGGTCCCCCTCCTCTCCTGGGCCCTCACCCCTCCTCCCCGGCCAGTCCCAGGTCTCGGTGAGCGTGGAGCACCACGAGGAAACCCGGGAGGCGCAGGGGCCCTGGGGCTCACGGGCAGGCACGGGTGGCGGCGGGCACACGGTGGGCGGCGGCTCGGCGGAGCGCCCGCTCCTGCGGCGCAAGAGCCTGCCGTGGGCACGGAGGCTGAGCCGCAAGGGCACCCGGCACACGGGGAAGGCGGCGGCCGAGGAGATCAGCCAGCAGCGGCTCCGCCTGCACCAGCGGTCCGAGCGGCAGGAGCTCTCCGAGCTGGTCAAGAACCGCATGAAGCATCTGGGGCTGCCCACCACTGGCTACGGTAAGGCCGCAGGGCCATCTGCCCGTCTGCCCTCCCGGCCCGCGCTCTGCCCGCCGGGGCACCCGCCCCGCGGCCCGTCAGAGCTCCCCGCGTGGAGCTTCCGCGTAAGGAAGGGCTCACCCCTCCACTCTGGGGTCTCAGTTTCCCCATCTGTAAAATAAAGGCCCAGGCCGGCGGAGCCCAGCAGGCAGCTCTCCTGCAGGAGGCAGCTGTGGGTGGGGAGGGCTGGGTCGGGGTCCCGAAAGCCAAGGGCACAGGCCTCGGTCGGGGACAGACCAGTCACCTGCAGCTGGTCCTGCTGGGGTCAGAAACACAGGGGCCCGCTGCGTACTGTGAGAACAAGAACAGGGTGTGGCAGGGAAACCCCGGAGCCCCCAGCCACTCCTCCCTTTGCCCTCCCAGCAGCTGGAGCTCGGGGTTACGGGGGCAGATCTGGGGGCCGCCGGTCGAACGGCTGAGCACCAAAACACTCTCCCGGGGCCACGGGGGCCCCACCGTTGCTCCTAGCGCACGGCCACCCCCTCCCTGCGACTTCAGGGCGACACCACCAGGGCGGTTGTCATCGGCAGATTTTCTCCATAGCTTGTTTTGGGGAGAAGTTTGTGACGTGACCACGAACAGGCCTGGGGTGCCCTGGCTGGGCCAGAGGAGAGAAGCCCGTCCCCTCCCCTCACTCCAGAGTTGCTGCCTCCGTTGATGGGGCCGAAAGAGGCCCAAGCCCCTCACCGCCGCCCGGCCTGGTGAAGGCTCTGGACTCCGCTGGGTGCCGTCTCGGGGACTCTGCCCACTTCCCAGGCCTGGCTCTGTCCCCAGGCGCCCACCTCCTGGCTCAGGGGCCCCTAAGTCCCCTCCAAGTGGGATGAGGCAGCTCGGGTTTCACCCAGGAGCTGCCCAAGGGTCTGGCCGTCTGCAGGGCCCGAGGTGGACGGCCACCCGTGAGAGCTGCCCAGCCCCTCCCGGCCACACCCCGGCCTCACGATGTGCCTCTGTCCCCTCTCAGTGTCCCTTCCCCGGGAGGGTGCTGTCACCCCCCTTCCGGGTGGCGCACTGACTGCCGAGGCTCCGAGTGGGGTGTCCCGTGTCCGCGGGCTCGCGTCGCGCACTGGCAGAGACTCCAGCTCCGCTGAGCCCCAGGGCGGGCGCCCCTGGGTGGGCACTCGGTGCTCCCCTGGGCCTCCTCGCACCCCCCCCCCCCCCCCGAGCCTGGCAGATGAGGGGCCGACTTCTGTTCAGGGACAGACGGGCCTCCCGCCTTGCAGCTGCCCCCTGCCCCCCTCCCCGCTGCGCTGCCGCCGCCTCTGCGCTATTTGCTCACCTGTCTCTCTCTCTGTTTCTGTCTGTCCCTCTTCCTGTGTGTTCCGTAGAGGATGTAGCAAATTTAACAGCCAGTGATGTCATGAATCGGGTAAACCTGGGATATTTGCAAGGTAATTCTGCTCCGGTGGCTGGAGCCTGGCAGAGGGGCAGGCCAACCCTTCGCCGACGGTCCACCTGGTGGCCGCCCGCCCCGGCCAGGCAGGCAGACAGAACGAGACACAAGGGAGGGTCCCTGCAGTCAGGGGCCCACGAGCTCCCAGGCCGCCCCACCGCGGGGACCTTAACTTTCCTCCTTCGTTTGCTGACTTCGGTACTGACCCTAGTACCCCAGCCCTTCTGCCCCGACTGTTGTCTGAGATAAGCCCTGCTCTGAGCACGCAGGTGGCCATCGGCCTGCAGCCAGCCCCTGGGAGCCCACCCAGCTCTCGGGAAGCATCCAGATGGAGGGCCCCAGGCCAGGGTGCCCGTGGCCCTGTGGGCTGGTGCCTGGGGCCTTGGGGTCTGCTGCGCCCTGAGCCTTCGGAGGGCCACCCAAGCCCGGGGGACGGCTGACCACCGCGACCCCGCTGGGGCTTCAGGAGGGGGTTCTCTGTCTAGTTGAGGCAAAACCCGTTTGTGCCCCATTCTCATCCGGAGGCTCAGGTGCTGCGTGGGCCCCGTGTCTTCCAAGAAGACACCCCACAGCCCCCAGACGTGCCCCCAGATCCCAACAGAGGTCAGAGCAGAGTCCAGGCCTCACTGCCGGGACCCCTTCGCTCCCTGGGGGCCCCTCACGATCCGGGGAGGCTCAGAGCCCACACGCCCCGGCCCCCTGGGGTTAGGGGTGACCCCAGCGCTGACAGGCCTCCTGAGCCCAGGTGGGTGTTAGCTCAGGTGGGACTGGACGACCAGGGGCAGACCCAGGCCCAGGAGCGAGAAGCTCCGGGGTTCACGGCGGGGGAGCTGCTGGGGGTCGGCCCAGCTGGGCCTGAGCAGGCGAAGCCCTGGCATCTCCGGGGTCCCTGTGCTTTTCCTCACCCCGCACCCCACGACCGCATTCACGGCAGAGCCCCCAGGCCAGCCCAAGTCCAAGCCTGGGGCTGCCGTGAACGGGGTGGCTGCGTCGCCCCCTCCCTGCGCCCAGCTGCACCCCTGCTCCCTGCCAAGGCTCCCGGGCAGGGGTAGCCGCACCCACAGGCTCCCCGGGTGGTGTGTCCTGAGCCCCCCACCGACGTGTGGACACCGAGAGGTGCCTAGGCCAAGATGTAAAACCAGAGGAGAGGCTGATCCTGGGGGGCTGCAGGGCAGTCAGTCCACGGGGAGGGCACCGCCATGAGGACCTCGCAGCGGCATGCATCTCGGGGGAAGGTGCTGCAGTTGCCCCCAGCGCACGGAGGAGAGTGGGGCTGTGGTCAGCGTGGACGCCCAGGGCCGGGCCGGGCTGGGCGTCTGGTCTGCGGGCTGAAGGAGGAGGGCCCGCACAGAGGCTTGTGGTGCCCGGTAGCGGGTGCGAGGGGGAGCGCAGCAGCACAGCCCTTGGTCGCTGGCCAGGAGTGCCGTCACCAGCCCGCGGCCGCACCCCGGGCCCTCACCAGAGCACAGCAGGCACGGCGCAGCCGCCCCGTCCCAGGGAAGTCGGGGTCTGGGCCTCGCAGCAGAGCACACCCAGCCCTGGGCGCCACAGCCGGGCCCCCGTCAGCATGGAGCTGGGCCTGCTTCGGGCCGCGAGTGCCCGTGATCCGTGCCCCCGGGGGAGAAGCAGGGTCCAGGCCGGAGGGGAGGCCCAGCGAGGCAGGCGCCGCTCCCCCTCCCCCCGACCACACAGAGGGGCCCGGCCCAGCACCGGCCTCTCCGCTTCCTTGTTCTGACCGTGCGCCTGTCCCCGTGTAGCCGCCCTGGCTGTGGTCAGGGGTGCGGGATCCCCGAGAGCCTTCGGGGGCCTCCCCGCCCCCACCCGCGCCACCCGCTGCCCCCACTGCCCGGCTCCGTGCTGCCCACCCTGGAGGCACGCAGCCTCCAGCGTGAGCCAACCTGGCTCGTGACCCCGCGCGGGGGTCAGGCCATCCCCTTCCCGGGCGTGGACGCGAGGTTGGCACCAGCTGATGCCGTCAGGGTCTGCACATGTCCGTCAGCTCCCGGGTCCCAGCCTGTGCCCCGACCTGTCCCCAGGAAGCACGCCGCGCTCCGCCTGCCGCCGTGCGGGTCCCGAATGCACCGCCAGATGCGGCCCTGAACTCATCAGTTCAGAGGAGCGAGCTGCAGCCCCCCCTCCCCCGCCCCCGGCTAGTCAGCGGGCAACTGCCCCAGCTTCGCAGAGAATCCCGCCCCTCAGTGGACCGGCTGGCGCCCTCCCAACGGGAGGGACGGTGCCGAGAGAAGGGAACGGGAGGGGCTGGGGGCAGAGGCCACCCAGGGCCTGATCCCCCTGGAGGGCCGTTCCCTTGATGCCCGTTCCTGGGTCAGGGGGCGCCTTTAGGCATCACCAAATGGGGAAACTGAGGCCGCCAGCCGTTCGTGAGCTTGGGGTCACTGCCAGACAGCGGCCAGCCCTGTCCCTGTATCTGGCCAGAGAGGCACCTGTGAGGTGACCAGGGTTTCTCCAGAATCCACAGCCACCCCGTGGGCTGGACCCCAGGCTGTCTCTGTGACGGGCAGCTCGGACCCCGTGTGTGCCCAAGGGCCCCTCTGGGAGACTGAGCCGGGCGGACTCTGGGCTGGTGCCACGGGAGCAGGTCTTGGGAAGAAAAGGACGAGTCTGAAGCGGAGGGCTGAGGAGGGGTCAGGAGTGGCCTGTATGGGGTGGGGATGCAGGGCACTGGGGGGCGGGGGAGGGAGTGAGTCTGAGGGCTGCACTAGGTGTGAGTGCGGGTGTGTAGGTGTGTGCACACGTGTCGGTGTGCACAGGTGTGCTCCATGTTCAGGGTCAGGACACCCTAAGATGTTGATGACCCAGCTGAGCGAGCCATCGGGAGACCGTGGGGGCCAGTGCCTGCTGCCCTCGTGGCCGCCCCCATGCCCGTGCAGCGCGGGCGCCGAAGCCAGTGTCGGTCAGGGAGGACCGGCCCTGCTGGGTTCGCCGGGACGAGGGCTCAGGCAGAAAGGCTGAAAGGCCGGGAGGATTCTGCAGCTGGACCAGAGCTGCCAGCTCCTCGGGGGCCCCCCAGAGCAGAGGTGGAGGGGGGGCGCTGAGTGGTGACTGCGCGCTGGGCCCTGTCTCCGCAGACGAGATGAACGACCAACAGAACACCCTCTCCTATGTGCTCATCAACCCTCCACCGGACACGCGGCTGGAGCCCAACGACATTGTGTAAGTACCGGGTCCCCGGACAAGTGTAGACACCTGCCCATCTGACGCGTGGGCGTCCAGCCCAGCCTCCCAGGCGCAGGGCGACATCAGGGACCTCCCGCCCTCCCCGCAGGTATCTCATCCGCTCCGACCCCCTGGCCCACGTGGCCAGCAGCTCCCGGAGCCGGAAGAGCAGCTGCAGCAACAAGCTGGCTTCCTGCAACCCCGAGACGCGGGACGAGACGCAGTTCTGAGTGCCGTGTGGAGCCCTCCGGGCTGACCTCGTCCTGCCAGGGTCCGTGGGCCACGTGATGCATGAGTGCAGGGCCCCAACCCCCGCCTGCCGCCCAGCCCAGAGCTGCTCCCGGGACTGGACCCGGTGAGGGCCGAGGCTGCCCCGGGCACTACCAGACGCTGGTGGGAAGCCTTTTTAACCTGTTTTTACAAATCTATACAATCCCTGGCCCTTTGCACAAACGCACCGCAACTCGTGACCGGGTCTGGCCGCAGTGCAGGGACAGGAGCCAGGCTGGACCGCAGAGGACCGGGCCGGGGGCTCGCACCGGAGGAGAGCACACTGCAGCCCCTGAACTTGCCCGTTTCCACGGCCACGGCTGGTATTGATTCCTGGGCCTTGCCCACAGCTCTCAGCAAAGCCACGGGGCGGTGGGCCACCCCTGTCTGCCCTGTGGGTCCCCTGTGGTCTCACTTGTGAGGGTCTGGCCCAGAGTCGGGCCGCAAGGGTCTCCGGAACGGTGAGGCAGGCACGCGAAGGGAGCCTTTTCCAGAAGGAAATGGAAAGCAGGAGGGTCCGCAGCGCGGCCGAGCCCCTGGCAGGGGCGGGGCAGGGGGGCTCCGGAGAGTTGCCAGCAGCCTGGGCTCGCTAGGAGGGAGGCGGGGCTGCCGTGAGACCCCACAGCGGCCCTGGACTTTGGGGAAGAGAATCAGATGACGGCCTTTTCCTCTGGTTTCACGCTGAACTTTCGCAGCCGCGCCATCTGACCTCCTTTTACCACCAGACCTGAAGCACAATTCAGCCGCTGGGCTGCTAGCAGGCCCAGCCTCCGCGCGGGACATTCCTCCTCCTGAGGGAGGGACTCGGGGCGCTGCCGCGGCTCCCGTGTGACTCCCTCTGACAGGTTTTGCACGCTCAGTGCTGGAAACTTCTATTAAACGGATGCATCCTACAGACGAGAGGATTGCTTGTAAGGCCTCCCCTCCACGGCGTCAAGCTCGGGGCCTGGGTCTGCCCCAGCCGCCCAGTGTCAAGGGTTAGAGACACTTGCTCTGCTCCCCAGCCCACTGGTCCCCACAGGGAAGCCCCTACCCCAGGGAGATGCTGCTGGCCTGAACCTTCCCGAAAAGCAGGAAGCAACTCAGGTGGTGGTGGGGACGGGGTCCAGGAGGGCTCCCTGGCGAGTTGCCTGGCCCTGGAGCCCGGCCGTGCCCAGGAGGGATGTGTGCCCCTCGCCAGCACAAGGCAGCCGTGTTTGTCTTGGGGTGGGGCTCCCGCTCCTACAGAGAGTATTCCCAGAGGCTGGCAGAGGAGCCAGCGCAGCCCCCCACCCGGGGGGGGGGCACACGGCTGCTGAGGGGGCCTGCCCTGAGCGAGAGGCACACGTGCAGCTCCTCTCCCCCAACGCTGGCCGCCTGGGGACACTCCCTCCCGCCCAGAGAGCGTCTGCATGCCCAGGGGATGGTGCAGGCTGTGGGCAGTCAGGAAGGGAGCTGACCGGGCTTGGGAGACCCCAGGGCCCATCCCAGCAGGGTCAGTAGCTCCTGGGGTCCTGCCAGCAAGCGTCCTCTTCTGCACCTGCCACCTCTCCTGGCACCCACGCTCCAACTCCCTGAGGGGAGGGGACCCTGCTTGGCCGCTGGACCGGGGGCTCGAACCAGGTGGGGCTGCAGCCCCTGGAATCCCACACGGGGAAGATGGCATCCGACAGGGCTCCTCAGGAGTTGCCTGACTTGAGTCTGGGGTGCACAGGACAGGCGGTGAGAAGTGGGGTTCATCTCCAGACTGGGCTGCACACTCATACCCACGGCTCAGTGCAGACAGAGGGCCCAGCGGAGGCTGGAGACCTGCACCCAGGCGCCCTGACCGAGCGAGGAGAGAACATTTCTCAGTGTTTTGCTGAGTTTTTCAAACATAACAAAATTAGAGGAAAACCTCTGTTTTATTTATTCCTATAGAAAGCTGGTCAGAACAATAACGCCAGCAACGTGCTGGCCATTCCGGCTTGTCAAGGGCGCAGGGCCTGGGAACACCGGCTTAAGGTGCCCGCTCGCCCCACCCCGGAGCCGAGCGTTCACAGGCAGACATGCGGCAGGTGCAAGTGGGCGCCCAGACTCGGGGCGGCCGCCCAGAATCTCACAAAGAAGTGCAACTGGCAGCTGGGGGACAAAAAGATACGGAACCATAGCAAATGCTTACTAAAGCCAGAGAAGGCAGGAAAAGGAAGAAACGAAGGACGGCGTGCACAGCACAGCCCTTCACCCCAAGTCCACCTGCCAAGAGAGGAAGGAGGCCCCTCCTCGAGACGGCGCCGGCCCGCCCCGCGCCCCGGGGGCCGGATACGGATGCACGTTCGGCCTCCGCAGGACCACAAGGCGGGCACCCCACGACGCTCTTGGCCCTCATCTCGACCCCAGTCCACACCCAGTGGTCTCAGAGGCGCCTCTTTCTTTTGGGGGCAGCTGTGCGCCCTGATGAGTGGGTCTCAGAAGAGCCGCAACATTTTCCTGGGAGATGGGCAAGCTACGGCTTCCTGCGTCCCAGGGTCCCCCGACAGGCGTGCAGGCTGGGGTCTGCCGTCCAGGACCTTAGTCCGGCCGCCCTGAAGGCAGCCCCGCCCACCTGGGGCTTGGGGGGCTCGGCTGGGGCCTCCAGGGGCAGGGGCTGGGGGAGCACCCCCGGCATTCCAGGCCCCCAGGGGCGGCCAGATGGCCAGAGCCACCTTCGTCCTCAGTGACATCCGCAGGAGCTTGGGGGCCTAGCACGGTGGTCTCAGGGAACTCACGGATGCCTAGAGCAGGCCCTCCAGGCGGGACTGTCAGAGACAGTCTGTTCCATGGCCCCGGTCACAGAGCGCAGAGCTGGGAATGACCATCAGGTCCTCCATGCCCCGGGCACCCTGAATGGGCACCTCCAGGTACCCTCAAGGGCCTGCCTGGGGGGCCGGGGGGGGCCACATAGCACTGACCCACACCCTCTGCAGCCCCCAGCCTGGCACGTCACTGCTGGCTCCACGAGGCCCGCTGGACCTGGAAGTGCGGTCCAGGGTGGCTGCACCTTCCTCCCTCCAGGAAGACACCCTTCCTGGCAGCCCGGCCTCCACCAGGGACCTGACTGTGGCTGAGTTCCCAGCAGGCCCAAGGCCTTGCCTGTCAGGGGCAGACGGCTTCCCTCCCAGGTCCTGAACTCAGGCCGCTGCCTGGAAGCTGGAGAAGCAGCAGACCATCCGTCCTTCAGGGAGGGGCCTTGGTCAGGACTCTGCCTCGCCCTCCTCTTGGGCGCCTGGGCAGCCTCGGGGGCCGGGCAGCCAGGAGGAGGTGGTTCAGGGGCACGAGGTTTGCACTGGGGAAGCGGTGTGAGCGTGTGGAATGGGGGGGCAGAGCCCGTGTCCACCCCTGACGGTCTCGTCGTGGCACTCTAAGACCCCTGCCTGGTCTGGCTGTGGGGTCCCTGTCACCCCAGGGCCTGTCCCCTCTCACGAGGACTTGGGCAGAAGTGCAGCATCACGCCGTGGGCTGAGACCTGCCTTCCCACCATCCCCAGGCAGGCTTGGGGCTCTGAGGCTGCAGGCTGTACCCGGTCCCGCTGTGGGCCCTGCTCTCCCACCAGGGAGGGGACCCTCAGGCTTGAGTCTCATAGTTGAGGAGACTGTGGTGGGGGGCGAGGGGTGCAAGATGAGTCTTGGATCGAAAAAGCCCCTCTACCCAGGACTATTCCACACCAGCCTGCCCCAAGTTCCGAGTGACTGAGGCCCAGGTTAACAACGTGGGTTCACGGTGGACCCCCATTCTGGCCCTGGTCACCTGCAGGGAGACCACCCGGCCCCTGCAGATCCCTTCTCTGGCGGGGACCCCTGGTCAGGGGGGAGGGTCCTGGAAGGTGTTCAGGGAACCTGGCCCCGAGGCAGGGGTCCTTGAAGCCAAGCACCACACCTCCGGGGTCCCTCTGGGTCATGCTGGGGAGGACGGCTCACCCAGGCCGCCTTCCTGCTGCCCCGCGCTGTCCCAGGGACCCGGGCCACAGCCCCCAGGACGGCAGGGGCTCCACACTCGCTGGGCGTCTGCCGCAGCCCGTCGTCCTGCCCATCTCGGGGCCGGCGCTTCAGGCCAGCAGCTCCAAGAGTCCAGAAGGAGGGGGCCCGTGGGAAGCTCAGTGACCACCTTGGCTCTGAGGCAATCCCTGTGGCTGGTTCCCGGCTGCCCTGCTGCACAGGGGGTTTTGGGGGTCTTCCCAGGGGAACTCCTCCCCCAGGGCCTCCCCCAAGAGCTGGCGCTGAGGCTGGGTCCTCACTGAGGCTGGACGGGGAACCAAATAAGGCTTTAGAAACACTGCTTATCACAACACCAAAAAGAACGTGAAGAAGTGCTGAACGGGTAAGATAATATACAGAAGATAACATAAATATGTTTTAAAACTTACCTTCTGTATATTATTTAGAAAAAGACAGATGACCCAGCAGGAAGGTAGGCAGACAACTTGAAGAGACATTTCACAAAAGAAGAAAATCAAAAAGACCAACAAAGAGATGGAAATATGCTCTACTCATCTGTAACCAGGGAAACGCCAATTAAAAACACTAAAAGGGGGGCTTCCCTGGTGGCGTGGTGGTTGAGAGTCCGCCTGCCAATGCAGGGAACACGCGAGCCACAACTACTGAGCCCACGCACTGCTACTACTGAAGCCCGCGCACCTACAGCCCGCGCTCCGCAACGAGAAGCCACCGCAATGAGAACCCCGCGCACTGCAACGAAGAGTAGCCCCCGCTCGCCGCAACTAGAGAAAGCCCATGTGCAGCAACGAAGACCCAACGCAGCCAAAAATAAATAGATAAATAAATAACACTAAGAGAAGGGGTTATATTCCAAACACCAACAGTAAAAAAAAAAAAAAAAAAAAAAAGGCCACACTTTGGCATATATGCTGCTCCCATAATGAAAGAATCCTGTCTAGATTATTTAAAAATCTTCTATGAATCCGTAAGAAAAAGAACCACCCAGTTAGAGAGGCCCAATTGAAAGTGGGCAAATGACCAGGAATCTCCCAGAAAGGGAAGCGTGAATTTGCTCCGTAGACACTGAAAAAATGCCTCACCCTCACGCCAGGGGGCGCCCAGTGACACCAGCAGGACAGCCGTGGGATTCCGTGTGAGCCCACCGTGTACCCGCCGTGCCGGCCCGAGCAGAGCCCCCGCACCCCCAGACCTGCTCTGAGACCCCAGGGCTCGTGGGCTCAGTCCCGCAGGTCGGACTCCCCGCCACGCCACCCCCAGTGGGACTGCACCCCGTGTGGGCGGAGGGAGCTGCAGTCCACGTGGAGGCACGTGGCCCTGCTCACCTGCTGGGGCCCAGCCCCTCCCAAGCCCAGACGACAGGGAGACGGCAGGCACCCGAGTCAGGGCTCCTTGTCCTGGGTCCCCAGAGCCAAACCCTGAATCAGCAGACGGCACCCCATGGAGAGTCCTCTGGGGATTTTGTGGGGGGTGGCGGCCCACCTGCAGACCCGGTGCGAGGGGTCGGCACCTGGTGACTTTGAACCTCGGGCTTAGTCACACCTCCAGGACGCCCTAAGTGACCGTAACCGGCTGTTCGGGGGGTCAGCAGTGGGCTTCACTTCCCGTGACCGCCCTGCTCGATGCACGTGCTGGTCACGAGCGGGTCCGGAAACGCTTCAGTTTGCATGCTGGTCGCTGCACTTCTAACACTCACCACCTGTTCCTGTGCTTTTCTAGGAGGACTTTCATATCTCTGCCAATAAAGACGGTTTGGGCTTTTCTTTTCCTACCTTTAAACCTCCTGTTTCCCTGTCTTATTACAACGGCTCAGACGTCCAGGAAAGCCCTGGCTACTCACTGTGACCACAGGCAAACTGGCCTCCACCCTGACTTAACAGTGAAACACTGAAAGTGTCCCCAGTTAAGTGTGGGGCTCGCTGGAGGTCTCTGGCGGGTATCA